CCAGGAAGTGCATTTTGTCCAGACTAAATTGAACCTAAATCCCCAAATAATTCAGATTTTCCTTGAAAGCGCAGACTCCCTGAATTTTAAAGAGGGTCGGAAAGTTTGCAGACAACTGTCCATGTCACTAAGAAAGTGATAGCATAGAGAAGGGTGGCATGTTAAATTCTGTGTACTCCTGTGAAAGTCTGACTTCTTGCTGCCTAATTAGGTGCTGGCCTGGCCTGTGGCTGCCACAGGTCATGCCCAGGGATCTGTGTGGTCACGTGAGCTTTCTGAGCATTGGCACCTTCCGTGGGGAGCTGGGAGATGAAGCCCCAACAACTAAAACCATAAGTACCTTAGGATGATGGGCTACCTGCCTATCCCAATGAAGGACTTTGACCCAAAGGATTTTCTTCCCTGGGTAGGACTTCACCATCCAACTTAGGCTGTGGATGACTCAATGATCTAGCTTCATTTGTACCATCCCAAGGTTAGCTTTGTCTTTGTTTTTTTAATTTCCTATAAAACTAGTACAGAATGCTCAGAATATCTGCTTAAAGTTAAAAAAAAAAGTAGAGATAAAATGGTGATAAGATTTTTTTTAATGCAGTATTTTTTTCTACACAAAATGACATAATTATCCCACCTGAGTTTATAACTTTGTTTTTGTACCCATGGTGATGGACAGAGTTTGAATAACCAGCTGCATTACTTAAGATGAGGTTCAGGCACATATAAGAAAAAGCCTCAATAAACAGGCTTAAATGAGAGAGGGACTTAACCTTTGCTCGCATAAAAGAAACCCAAGGAAGGAAACCTTCACCCAAGAGCCTGGTGCCAGGCTCTCCAGGGACCTAGGCTCTTCCTATGTGCCTTCTCCAACTTCCATATCATGTAACTTCCATTCTCAGAATTGCTTTGTGGTCACAAGATGGCTGCTGGAATGCCTGCTCTCACGTCTATGCTCCAGGCAGCAGGAAGGAAGAAAACACCTCTCGGCTGACTCAGCCCCATGTGAAGAGCTTCTCTGAAACCCCAGACCAAAGACGTGGCTTATGGCCCATGAACCAACCCTGTGTGCAAGACAGGCTGGGGAATATGTTTATCAGAACACACTGTCGTCCTCAATAAGACAGGGTTCCGCTGGCAAGAAAGAAGGGAAGAGTTGGGTGGTCGACCAGCTATCTCTACCTAACCTGCTGTGCTCTCTCCTAGCCTTGTCAGAGCTGTGTGTCACCAAGTTACTGGCATCAGTAGACCACGGGACTAGGTCAGACGTCAGTTGGCTCACTGTCAGATCTGGGTGCCCTGCCTCTGGTGTTATCCCTCATGAAAACCTTCAGGAAAACAATGTGCTTGCATGTTCCCTGAGGACGGACTGAGGCAGTAGCGTAGGGAGAGCTTGCTGGATCTTCGCTCCTCCTGAGCATGAAGAGGCAAGTAGCTCCCACATCACATCAGTTTGGGCAGCACCGAACAGTTCACATGCACCACAGAATCAAGTTCATCAGTACCAGCAGGGAGGTGCTCCTGGCGAAGTCGGTGTTCTCTCACCTCAGGGGCACCTGTCTGCCCATTTTACAGCCAGGAAAACTGAGGTTAGCTCACCCACCCAGAACAGCTATACTTACTGCTCCCCTACTCCACAGAACCACCTTCACCCAAGGAGCCTGGCTCTCCATGGAAGGGCCCCGCACACCCAGGTCCCTGAGCCTGCCCTTGACTCCCGGGTGTGAGGTGAGGTGAGTGGCCTTTGGTTGACAGCTCTGCAGCTGCCCCCCAGGTCCAGGCCGCGGGGGGCCCTCAAAGGCCTCTGGGCACCCCCGATGAGGCTTAGGTGCCAGCCTTGAAACAAAACAAAATGAGGACTCCATTGTAATTCTCGTCATTATTTAATAATGTTTGCGACAGGCCTCAACGTCCCCCGCCATGTTTGTTTATTTTTATTTTTCTTTTATTTATTTATTTTTTGAGAGAAGGGAAGGGAGGGAGAAGAGAAACATCGATGCGTGTATGAGAGATACATCAACGGCTACTTCTCGCACAGCCCCAGCTGGGGACTTGGCCCACATCCCAGGCATGTGCCCTGACTGGGAATCAAACCCGTGACCTTTTGGTTCACAGGCCTGCACGCAATCCACTGAGCCACACCAGCCAGGGCTCCCCCTGCATGTTTAAAAATGGAATCTGGTTGAGCTTTCGGTAGGGGAATGGGTGTATCTAACTTGAATTTTATTTTAGTCTTTTACTCAGGTTTATTTTTTTTATTGAGTGTCCATCAAACCAACAAGCCCTCCCCAGGAAATGTCTTGGGTTCAGATAATCTGGCATGCGTGGACGCCAAGCCGCAGGCCACAGCGGAGCGCCTGTGGACCAGGGAAGCTCCCACGAGCCAGAGAGAGTCCAGGGGAACTTGCTCACTTCCCGGAAGAAAGCCCGCTGAGAGGAATCAGTCTGCGTCTGCGGGATGAATTAGAAAATAAGGAACTGGCATGCATTCAGCACTTTACAGTTTATAAAGCACTTGGCACCATTTCCATGCTTGAGCTTCCCCCACTCCTGTAAAGTCGGGAGGAGGTTCTTATACAGAAGAGGGAACTGAGGCTCGGAGTGATGAAGTGTCCAGGCAAAGAGGGCGCCGCTGGAACCAGGACAGGGATGTGGTCTCTGGCACCTTGGGACGTTCAGGATGCCATTCAGACACCTGGCAGGAGAAAACGGTGCTTCCTTTGCCCCTAACCCCTCGGAGGTGGTCACCGCCTCTGAGCCCAGGCTCTCAGGATTTGATTCCTGGGACAGGCGCAGCCTGGAGGGATACTGCCACCATTTCGTGCCTGTACCTTCGCTGTGGCCTGTGCTGCCCGGGTGGCAGGGGGCTGCAGGCCGCAGGTGCAGAGCAGGGTGAGCGATGCCCCTTCCCCGCGCCCTGTATCAGCCACCCCCACACCGTCTGCTGGTGATGGCTGAGGCAGGTAGCCACATGCCTCTGCTTACTCACCTGGAAAATGGGGGAGAAGAGCCTCCTGCGTCCCTCCCACTGAGCAGCAAGGCAGGGGAGCAGAGGTAGCCTGCTGGTCTGGACAAGTCTGGAGCCAGGCCCATCCTCCTGACCTGCTCTCTAGCAGCCGCCGGCTACAGCTGAGTGCCTGGCTCCAGCCGCCGCGTTCTGTGGGTGCGGGTCCCTCAGGCGAAGCTTCAGGGGATGCAGCCTGCATCATTGCAGCAGCCTCGAGAGGCCCGGCGCTGCGGGTCATGCTGGTAGCTGGGTGCAAAGTGAAGCAACCTGCATTCCTGACCTCAGGGTGAGCAAGCAGCAAGCTGCTGTCCACCCTGGAACAAACAGGCTCTGCTCTGACCCCGAGGGAGCAGAGATCAGAGCCCTGGCCGTGCCTCCTCCCATCCATCCAAAAGTTACTTCAGCAACCCAGTGTCCTCTGCACGTTTTCAGATTTTTTTTTTAAAGCTCTGGCTCAAGGGACCTAAGTTCACCCATCTGGGATCCCAAAGAAACTCTTGCAATGGCAGTTCAGTTGAGGTCCGGTCATGTTTGGCGCACGCCAGGCACGCAGGGTCCGCTTCCACCCACATGTTTCTGGGACACCTGAGCAGGGGTCATGGGGCCAGCCAGGCAGGACAGCAAGCCCTGGGACTGGAGGGAACAGCTCGGGAAAGAGACAGCATTGCTCTATGGCTTAACCCTGCGGGAGAGCCCAGCACCCAGGACAGACTCACTGATGGTGGTCAACCCTGATCCATTCAGGGGACCCGTTGCCCCTTTCCGCGTCTCACCTGTGCGTTCTAACCCATAACAGAATAGAGCCCTTCAGCCCTGGAGGGCAGGTGGTCCCGATGAGGCGGATTGCAAAAGCTTTTAGGCACAGTGGGGAAGGAGAGGGGGCATAAATGGACACAGAAACCCTCAAAACAAGCAGGAGAATCCTCAGGCAGTAAGGAGTACGCCGTGATTTGAGATTACTCAGAGAAGGGACTAGTCTGAGGGACTGATCCATCTGGGGATTAAACTACTGCTTTTGTCCCCGGGAATGACACGCATGAGATGACACCCATGAGAAGCCGCTTCCCTGTCTCAGATGGGACCTGGGGCAAGTCCTGGTAGTTGGCGGAACTTTTCTGAAAGGGCAAAACAAGAGGGGCGAGACTTGCCCTGCTTCTCGGGGGAGTTACGGGCTTCCACACATAAAAACTGGAAAGATCTCATGTGCTTTCTCTTTTGTCATTTTTAAAAATTGCGATGTATGAGTAATTCGTGCGTTTTAAAAATCAAAATCGTTGCATCCCGGGGCCCCCGGGCTGGAGGGCGGTGTGATACTCCAAAGGCCGGAGGCCCAGCTGCCGGGACTCCAGAGCGCTGCGCAGAAAAGTGCCAAAGTTTTCCTGCGTCTTTTGCCCCTTTGCGCGTGAAACTCCAGGGCTGAAGGGAAATTCCGGCCCCAGCTCGGGCCGAATGGGGCGTGGCGGGCGCCTGTCCTGCTAACGGGGACCCGCCAGGGCAGCCGGACTCTAGGCCGAGGCATGTGGGCAACGACACGACCGCCCCACGGCGCGCATGGACCCGGAACACGGCGCAGGCCGCCGGGCAGGCGGGCGCGTGTAGCCTGAGCGAGGCGCGCAGACCCGAGTTGGGCGGGTACGCAGAGCTGCGGCGGACAGGGGGCGGCAGGTGCCGAGGGCGAACTTTCCCGACTTCGGGGAGACAGCTGGAGGCGGCGGTCCCGGCGCGCCCGCGCCTGGCCCCGGCCCGCGGCCCGCAGCCCGCAGCCCGCAGCCCGCAGCCCGCACCCTGGGTCTTGCGGACCCAGCAGCGGGAGCGAGAGCCGCGCGGTGGCCCGGCTGCTGCGGCAGGGGCGGCGGGCGGGGTGGGGTGAGGCGGGCCAGCCCCCTCCCCGCCCGCAGGCCCTCCCTTCTCCCCATCCTGCAGCCAATTAGACGGCCCCCTTGGGCGGGAGGCGTGGGGCTCTGCATAAAGCCGCGAGGAGCTGTCACCCTTCGAGCAGGCTGCGCACCACTCAAGACTCAGCCGGAGGACTCGGGCGCACTGGCCGGAGAGCGCGGAGGAGCCATGGCTACCACCAACGGGACCGTGGAGAACGGGGAGCCCGACAAGAAGCCGCCTGGCCTGCCGTGTCCCATCAGAAACCTGGAGGTCAAGTTCACTAAGGTGAGGTGGCGCCCATCGTACCCGACGGCAGCCCGGCTCCATGCGGGGCTGCCCAGCCCAGGGTGACCGGACGAGGGGCCAGCAGGCCGGGAGCCCCGGGTGCTGCGCTCCGAGGGTGTCGGGCGCTGTGGGCGGCGCGCTCGCAGCTGACTTCTCCCGGCACTCGGGACCTACGCCTCCCCACCTAGACCGGGCCCTCCTGAAGCCGCGCTCCGCGCAGGGCCTCCTAGGCGGGAAGCCTGCGTCCCGCGCGCGTCCACCGCGCAGCCCGAGGGGGACTCCGCGATCCCCACCCCCGGACGGGCGCTCAGGCGGTGACGCTCTGCGCTTTTAACCTCAAAGCCGGGCAAGAGAGGTTGCGAAGCTCCCGCGCCGTGCCAGCTGCAGCCCAGCGCGACCCCGACGTGCCCTCGGGGCAGGGCCCGCTTTGCAGAAAAGCAGAGGTGCGGGGCCTCGGGCGCTGGGGCTCCCCGCAGACCCTGCTGTGGGTTTCCAGGCCTGAAAGGGTCGGCCTTCGGGAGGGTCAGAGGGTCCCAGGGAACGCGAAGAGAAGGTCTGGGGGCTCTGGCTCACCCTGAAACACGCCACCGGTAGCAAAGGGGGAAACGTGCGGCAGCTTCAGGGCTTAGCTGGTACCTGGCTGACCAGGAGAGCGAGGGGAAGAGGGAAGGCGATTACTGGTCAAACTGCGCGGCAGGCCTGAGGCGCTGGTGCTGCCGGAAGAAGAAGCGGTCCCTGATGGGCTCAGATCTAGGCCTGGACGCTGCGGGTGGCAGGGCCCCATTGCGCCACAGAGACGCGAAACTCTCTGCCTTTTTGCGCTGCGGGCCCGCAGGCTGGAGCGTCGGCAAAGCGGCGAAATCACCTGCCTGGGGCAGAAAGCGAGATGGCGAGGCCTGGGGCTGGGCTGAGAGCCGCCGGCGGGCCGCCTGCCTGGAGCGCGTCCCTGAGGCTGTTTGGAGGCCGCGGGCAGGGGCCGGGGGCCCTTCGGGGGCGCAGACGGAGAGTGCGGTTGGCTTCGCGTTCCCCAATTGTGTCTCCTTTTATTTTTGCATTTTATCCAGTAGCCCCCAACTCCAGCTGACACAGCACTTAGAAAATTCCCCCATCAATTTTGCTTTCAAAAGTAGCAATTATGTCTCTCAAATAGTTTTAATCAGGCGGAGAACGTTGCAGGCCACCAAGTGTGGCCTTCAGATTTTGGTCTCTTGGCACTTAATGTCGGCTGGGCCTGTGATCACATGACATCGAAATTAACTGTTTTCAGAGGGCTCTGTAATCAGCAGAGGCCCTTCACCATAAACGCTGGAGATTATTTTCAATGTAGTTTCCTTTGCAGTTTCAGCCTCAGAGCGAAAATTCCAACACAAATGTTGCTGGTGCTCGCCTGCCGGTCGCGGGGTTGATGGTGTTTTATTTTTGTTTTATAGGGTTAAAAAAAAAAACAACAAAAAACAACGCAATATAGAAACCAGAAATTACGTTTAGGATGGTTCTTTTACACTTTACCTTTTTGGGTCCAACCAGAGTGGTGCCCCTCATGTGGAAAGTTTCTCTCTTTCTCTTCAAGTCTCGATGACCCGTGGGAAGGAGGGCCTGGGCGGGTTCACAGAGGACCAGCGTCCTCCGTCTTGTTGGGTCACCTCGACCCAGTGGATCGGCAGTGGGTATGTGATTAAAGCCAGGGAAAGGCCACAGGATGGAGGAGAAGGCAGAGCCAAGATCCTTCGGGGATTGCAGGCCACAAGGGAGGCACCAGCCTGACAATAGGCCACAGAACCCTCTTCCCTGTGGAGGGCGAGGTCCCTGTCCTCTCTCCTTGCTCAGGGCCCACCCCCGCGAAGGCCTTCCCCTGTCTCCTTTGGCGGCCCAGGCAGCCTATGCAACGTGGCCGAGGGTGGGTAGCTGGGTGAGCAAGGCGCCAGCAGAGGCCGAAGAAGCAGATCTCTGGGATGGGGGGAGGCCCCCCGGCAGGCAGTCGGGAGGGATGGAGCGTGGGAACCGGTAGCAGTCTGTCATTTTTCAAACCCGATCCACCGTGCTTCTTGCTCACCAAAGACACGCCAGAGATGGTGCGTCTGAGCCCAGGACCTGAGCGTCCACGGCCCGGGCTAAGTCCACTTTCAGGAAGGACGACCTTCATTGGTTCTTGCATTTTCTTGCTCTGTGATTCTGGTGGGCGGAGGGTCCCTCTAGAACCACCCTTCCCCCACATGGATCTCAGCAGATAGCAACACCATGCACAATAGGGGGCCCCTTCCTTTCCTTATAAAATTTCTTCCAGGAGCGGAGCGTCTCGTGAAGATTCACTCGTTTGTTAAAACACAGGTTTCTAGGATTGCTCTGATGAAAAATTAAAGTTCCCTCTAACCTCCTTTTCTGAAAACGCGCTCCTTCTGGGTTGAGCAGGGATCCAATGAGTGTTCGTGGAAACAGCACCCGCAGAACCTACGCGGAGGACTACCAATTTCACTTCCGTCCAGGGGACCCGGCTCCTTGGCACAGTGGTGGCTTTGCCAGCTCAGTCCCGATAACATCATTCCATTCCTACAGTGAAATCGGAATTCCAGCTACAGCTCAGTGAAACTTGATTTTACACTTCTACCAGCGTTGTTTCATACCCGGTTCATGATTCTTTTCCAGGCTCATTATTTTGATTTGGGGTTCAAAACACTAACAACCAACACAACGGGTAGGCCATGCTCACCGACCCCTTCTTTATTTGTGTTTTTGTTTTCTTTTAGTGGCGAGAAAACCAACGGTGGAAACCACTGACAACATTACTTACTAGTGTAGTAGAAAGGGGGGGAAAAAAGGTTACTAAATTAGAAACATTGTGATGGGAAAAATATGGTTAGAGTTGAGCAGTCTGCATTTTTGTTAAGTTGCTGGTTAGAAAGGACTACGGATCAATGTCATGGAGAACCAAGTAATTTTGGGGGGAGGCACGCGCTTGCAGATGAAGTGTAACAGACATCTGACCGTTGCAATTGTTTCCCTCCCCTTTATTTATATTCTCTCCTACCACCTTCTCATTTTCTGCCCCCCCCTCCCCCCGCCCTGGAATTGATACTAGGAAGGACATGGAATCAGCAGTTTTCACTGACAGTCTCTATTATCTAACCCACGAAATTTCATCTTCCGACAAATGGGCCTCTCTCCCTGGCTGTGCTTCCCTCCCCACACTAACTTAACTCTTCCCCACTTATTAATTTCTCACTGTTACCGAGCGATCGCTCCCTGGATGGCAAAAGTGGGCTCTTGGATTCGGTTTCAGCTGGAAGAATAAACCTGTAATTGTAGCCTGGCCTTGTCCGCGGGCTTCCCTGGGGGCCCGGCCTCACGTGGAAGGCACTGAGCTTCCAGAAGCCAGCTGGGCACGTCCCACGGGCGAGGGACGCTCTCAGCTCTGGGTTCCACACAGTGGCGCGTTGGTGGGGAGGGCTCTGCCCACCTGCCCAGCCAGAGCCGACCTCACTAGGGAGTCAAGTAATCCAATTGGATAAAATTCACAATAATTGAAATTCGCCCTTGGAGTGGCCTGAGTCTTCCTTTAAACAACTCAGAAGCAAAGATATGCACAGAGGTAGAGAATGGAACCTGATAGCTAGTTCTGCACTTAGAAATTCTTGACAGTGTTTTATTTGATGGAAATGCTCCTTGAGGGTCTTTGCCATGTCTGTGATTGGGGTCCTCCTGATGCCGTGGTGGCCTGTGGTGACGAGGCTGTCCCAAGCCGCCCCAGCCAGAGATTGTCTCTCACTGGGTCGTCGGGTTCACACTCTGGTGTCTCGTGTGTTATCTGTCACCTCTATTCCTGTCTCTCTTTTAAAAGCCCTCTTTTTTAATGTAGTGCTTCTTTTTTAATTTATTTTTTACCCTCATCTGAGGACATGCCGGTTGATTTTAGAGAGAGGGGAAGGGGTGGAAAGAGAGAGGGAGAGAACCATCGATGTGAGAGAGAAACATTGATTAGTTGCTTCTCACACGGGTGAGGGATGCTCTCAGCTCTGGATTCCAAGCGGGGACTGAACCCGCAAACCAGGCGTGGGCCCTGACCGGAAATCAAACCGGCGAACTTCCGGTTTATGAGACGATGCCCCAACCGACTGAGCCACACTGGCCAGGGCTAACGTGACGTTTCTTAAAGCCGTTAGAACTTGAGAGTAAACAATGGGGAAATAGTACACACATTTCAGTGTGTGGACTTTGTGAATTCTCTTCAGTTTGCTCATGACGTCTTTTTGTTTTTAACAGTCTTATTCTTGGCTTTGTTCTCGATAACTCGGGCTCCAAACGAAGCGATTTTTGTGGGTTAATTCTTCTGTTTTGCATACAAACATTTATTTGCTACATCTGTTAATATAACCAGAACACTTGCTAACCTCGATATTTATCTTTGTGTTCCAACGCTGGCTTTTATTAAGCCCAACATGAAAATAAGCGGTTTTGAAGAGGATGGGGGAGGGGTGCTGGTGGGCATTCATAGAGACTAAAGGGTTCTAGTGAGATTGTTGTGTAAACCAGCTCCTTAGTAGTCTGAGGGGGGAGGGAGGGGCGTGGTTTGCAACAGGAAGAAGGACATGCTCAATGAGCACCTATCCTCCAGGGGCGAGGTGGATTGCTGGGCACTTAATGCATATAAACCTATTTAATCTTTCCTCTAACTCGAGGAGAGTATAGGATTTAACTTGCACCCTTATTTAACCCATATTTAACTATACAACGCAGCTATTCCTCTGTGAATCCGTGCTATTGCTCAAAAAAAAAAAAATTTATTTTCGAAAAAATTCTGAATATTTTTTGCTTTATTATGACAAAAAGTGATTCTCTGAACATGGATGGAAAGTCGAAGACTTGGATTCTAGGCCTGAGTGTGCTTCTGGTTGTGCATGTGACTCTGTCTCCCCTCCAAGTCCCAACTGTAAAGTGGCAGGTAGCTGGGCAGGCAGTGGGGAAGGACAGATGTCCCCTAAGGTCCCCAACATCCTGGAGTTACAGGATTTTGCTCTAAGCCTAATGCGTTACAACTTCCTTTCTTGCTTAGATATTCATCAACAACGAATGGCATGAGTCCAAGAGTGGGAAAAAATTTGCCACGTATAACCCTTCAACTCTAGAACAAATATGCGAAGTGGAGGAAGGGGATAAGGTAGGTATCCCCCTCCCAATTCCAAGTCATTCAGTGTCAGGGAAGTAAAGGGTGAGGTAGTAAGTCGGCTCCACTGTAAGACAGAACCACACTGAAGGGAAGACCTAGCTCGCTCCTTCTCAGCCACACAGACCAGAATGGGATCAATGAGGGACGATCCGCTGCAGAGAGTCACTTTCTTTGGATGGCTGCCTCCCCATCAGTGAGGGTGACTTCAGCTCTTCTCATCACGTGGCTCAAAGAAAGGTTTTTATCAGTTATTTGAACATGGAGGCTTTAAAAAACCTTCCCAGAAAGTGTTTTTGGCTAGTATGTTTCACCAAATGCAGCTTAAAGGAAAAAGACTTGCTATCCAAGCCACACAGGAGTAATGATGTCATATAATGGCCACATTTCTTATCTATCAGAAACTTAAATGATCATGTGATATATTATAAGCTTATTATAATATAAGCTATATATGTATATAATATCACGATGTAATATAACACATGGGTATGTTTGAAAAACCACATTATAAATGTTATATATAACACTGTAGAACATATAAAGCTAAGGGACTTCTGAATGAGCCCTTGGTGCATTTCAAAGCCATAAAGTATCTTGTATCTTTTGAATATAAATGCCACAGGGGCAAAGGTTGAAGGTAAAGTTTTTCCTAGGAAGGAAGGGAAATGTAAACCGCTTCTCAGCCACTCACCTGACACTCCTAACAAGCATATGGGTGATGTCGCACATGGCAGGGGGGAACGACCCACGTGTCAATGTCAAGTGGCCTGGAATTTGAGACCACCCACCATAGCTTTGTGACCGGTGTGCAGTGCACAGCAGTTCCACCGGTATAGACCCTCCAACGTGCAGCGCCCTGTGCAAAGCACTGTTTGCAAAGATGCTAAGGCCCGGGAGCATATACGGAGATGTGAGGGTGGGGGAAGGGCGGGGGGCAGGATCCTGAGCGGGATCCCCCACAGGCCTCAGGGAGGAGAAGGAGACCCCTGCCTGAGCTCGAAGCCCTAATCTCTACCCGCCTTGCCCAAGCTCCCACTCACTTCCAGGCACAGTTTGGAGACGCAGAATGTTGGTGGGGTGCCCCTCTTGATTGAATCAGGTGCCCGCTGCTGATGCACCTCCTAAGAGGCGCAGAGGGGCTTGGGGATGAGCCATGCCCACCAGCAAACAGATCCTCGACCCCCATTTCCCTGAAAAGAAGAACGAGGGACATTACTCCAAATACCTTTCATTTCTTTCCTTTTAAAGAGAAGGTGCTACTGTCATTCTCTTATCAGTGCTCAGAAGGTCCTTGTGTATAAAATGGTGAAAAGAGTCCCCGATTCTCCCCATCTGGGGACTTCGCCGATGTGGCCGGTTCCGAGACCCAGAGCCCCCCCATGCCGGTCCTCACTGTTGGACCAGAGGCCTCAGCTGGGACAAAACGCCAAAACAGTCATTTCCCACCTCGCCGGCGACCAGTGGGAGAGTGTGCGTCCAAACGGAGCTAGCAAGTGGAAAATCTTTTCCTGCTTGGGTTACCAAGAAAAATACCTCATTAAGATCGGTGGTTTTATAAACTATTTTAAAACACTTTACGATCCGAAGGAAAGTTAATACTTGGCCATGGTAAAAAAAAAAAAAAAAGTCTTGAAAAAGACTGAAGATGTAAGGAAGAAAAAAATAAGAAAGTCCCTGGCCACTGCCGGCCACCCCCTCCATCTGTCCCCAGGGAGGCAGGTCTCTGCTAGTCTCTGTAGATGTCCCACACTGCAGTTGCGCCGCAAGGTGACACGCTCTCTCTTGTTTTGGCTGCTCAGCCCGACGTGGACAAGGCCGTGGAGGCTGCACATGCCGCCTTCCAGAGGGGTTCCCCGTGGCGCCAGCTGGACGCCCTGAGCCGGGGCCGGCTGCTGCACCAGCTGGCCGACCTTATGGAGCGGGACCGCATCGTCCTGGCCGTGAGTACACGCACGTGAGGGGCAGGCGCGGGGCAAGCCAGCCTCAGCGGCGCTGGCTTTGGGTGGCTGCGGGTCTGTTCAGTCTTTGCGGTCCAGTGCTTTGGAGTAGGCAGGTGTCTGTGCCCCTGGCCTTGACCTTTATCACTTTGAAGTTGGACTTGTGCTCCCTGCCGTTCAGCTGATTTCATGGTTCCCAGGCGGGAGATATTCATGGGCAGCTAAGGGACTGGTCCTGCCTTGTACATTTATGAACGTTGCTTTTTTTTTTTTTTTTTAACATGGCCTCCCTGTTAAATTTAGCCTCACCCTGAGTGATAATATCCATAGACTCACAGGTTTAATGTGCTCGTTGTGTTTTTTCAATATTTATTAAAATCAAGGCCACCACTTAACATAAAAATGGTTCCTATGTGACCTGAAAATCCCCTCTGCATCACTCGTGAACTGTACAGTGGCAAGCCTGTGTGGCGTGACAGTGAGCACAGGGAAAGTTGGTTATAACAGACCTCAGAATGCGAAAGACCTGGGTTCAAATCCCAGCTCTGCCACTTACCTGCTCTGTAATTTTGGACAAGTCGCTTGACCTCTCTGAGCATACATTTCTTCATGGGAAAGATCACTAATAATGATATCTAAGTGTTGCAAGAATGGCCTGTTTAAAATCCTAAGCAGAGCCCTGGCATGCAGCAAGCGCTGAATAGATGATAGCCATTATTAGTAATAGCTGCCTCCACAGTCACGCTATCTGAAGACCCGGGTTCTAACCCCAGCTACGTACCCTCCCGGCCCTTAATTTCTAGGCACCTTAGTTTCTCTGCTGCAAAAAAGGGGACATTAACTCAGCCCACTCCCTGTGGCTGGGCTGCTCCCATGCTGTGAAAACATCTAGATGTTGTCAGGCTATGAAAACATTCATAAGCTGTAAGTGCCTTATTTAACAGGACCCTTGGACCCTCCTTCGGCCTTGTGGGGAGGGCCCAGAGGAAATCTCAGGGCCACCTTGTGCCATGGGGTCCTTTGCCACCTTGTACAGCTCAGACTTCCCTTTAAAACTTGCTCCAAACCTTGAGACATGTTGGGAAGGCAGGAAATCTCCCTTTTGGCCTCCGATTTGGAAAAACGGCTCCCTCCTTTCTTGAGCTGATGTCAGGAACGAGCAGCAAAGTACACACACTGGTGGGGGACGGTGTCAGCCAGGACACTGAAGCGCTCTCATCGCCGACTGTGTGTCTTGGGGACAGAGCAGGGAAGGACTCCCACCTTGGGTTCTGCTTGGGTGCGTTGTTCTGGGGGCGCTACTGCCTGGAGACCAGAGCTCTGCCAGACCGCCCGGCATGTTCGCCCCAAATCCGAGAGAAGGGTAGCTCCCTCACAGCGTCAGCGGTTCTCTCCGAGGGGCTTCTGATTTCTTCCTGCGACGAAAGGCAGCCTCAATGCTCAGGCTGCCAAACGGGCTTTTTCAAAAACATTTCTGTTTTCACCCAGCATGAGCTCATCGGTGTGCAATGTGCGCGCGGACTCAGGCAGGGAAAGAGGATGTGCCCCGGGCTCCCCACCCCAGCCTGTCCTCCAGAGTCAGTGTCACCTCCAGGAGCCCAGGCCACAAGGCCACCTTCGCCCTCCGCCCACCCCGCTGTCTGGCCAGGCTGTGTCGTGACAGCAGACGGAGCCAGTCACCCCTGCCATCGGGACCTCATTGCCCACGGGAACTGAGACCCGGCTCTTTGCCACATCATGAAAGGGATGAGACAATTACTGGAATTTTTTTTTTTTTAATTTTAAATCCCCACCTGAGGATATGATTATTTATTTATTTATTTATTTATTTATTTTAGAGAAAGAGGAAGGGGGAGAAAGAGAGAGAAACATCAATTTGGTGGCCTGTAGCATTTGCCCTGACCAGGGATCAAACCTGCAGGCTTTAGGTGCACAGGACAACGCTCCAACCACCGGAGCCGCCCGGCCAGGGTAGCGAATGTGGTTTTTAAAGCTCGGACCACGTCCTAGGAAAGCACCCCTCACTCTCCACCTTGATATGTTTTTCCTGCACTTTCAGGCAGCCAAGTGCCTCCGTCAATCATTTTTTTTTTTTGCTAGCTCAGTGGTTCGGACACAGCTGGGCATTTACTTCTGTGTTCAACGTTTGGAAACAGATGTGGGGGAATCTAGCGGCCCCTGCTTTCTCTCCCCTTCTGAGGCGGTAGGACCCAGAATCTGGCTTTTTCATGCTCATTTTGGGAGCCCCCACATAGGGGTCCTTCCTGTTGACTGTCTATAAGCGTCGGCACCCTTAGGAGTCCAGGGGTTGCTTCCCCCAGTATCTTTCCTCTGTTCTTTAACGTCTGAGCCTTATGATGCTAATTTCTCAGCAGATGTGCTTGCCTCTAAAAATGTCAGAGGATGCAAACAGCAATGGCTGTGATTTACTCCCGGCCCAGCCACAACCACTGTTTAAAAAGCCCCAGTCAGTAGCTAAGACTCGATTTCTCAGGTTCAGCTCTGTCTGCCCCACGGCGCACCCTCTTTTACTTTTAAAAGAATGTCCTGTCTAATCCTATTGTGACCAGCAAATTCATGTTGTCACTGCGGTCCGCAGCCTTGCCCAGGTGAGAAATAGCCAAGGCTCGTTCTGTGCTCGCCGCAGACGAGGCTGGCTGTGGGCCCTTCCCCTGCCTCCCTTCTCGCCCCATTTCCAGGGTGCGGAGCCTGCGGCCCAGAGAGGTTCAGCCACCTTGCCCAGGCTGCCCAGCCAGAGGCGCCCTTCCCCACGATTCTAGGCTGCAGTCCCTGGCCTTTTCTCCCCTTCTCATCCCAGGAAGGCGGCCAAGAATACACTCCTGCTTCCGCCGACAGATCGGCAGGTGCTGTCTGCAGCAGCATAGCCCTGGAGGACTTTTGGCATGATGTTCAGTCCTGGGATTCCCCTGGGAAAAGACGAGTTCCAACCGGGAATGTGACGAATATGAGCCAAAAGTACAGTGTGCTGGGTGTCGCCTTGGCCTGTCTTGGTCCCTGAGCAGCGCCTGAAGGGGGTGGGACACACGCCCCTCACTCAAATCAGTCCTGTCATCTTCAGCAGCTCACAGTCCTGTGTCCTCGATGTCCCCAGGTGACGATTACCGAGTGCACGTCTCTGGTCTAAAAAAGGACAATGACTATAAACACCGTGGTTGTCACTGTGCCCATGTGAACAGTGAACAGGGCGCTTGCCACAGACACAGTTGTTAGTACTTTATAGATACGAACTTCCCCAACCCTCCCACTGGCCCCCTGGAGTAGGTTCTATTACTATTGTTATTCTCAGTTTGCAGATGAGGAAGCTGAGGCAGGGAGAGACTCCGGGACTCGCCCACGCTAGAAAAATGGTTGCCTAGATTAGAGGACGCTGAAGTCAGAGTGACCCAGCATCTCATGTGACTGTCCTGCAGTCCTTCCTAGTGCAGAGCAGGCACTGGGCTGGCGGGACGTTAGGCGCCCCAAGTTCAGCGCCAGCCGCGCTGCTGCTGGCCGGCTGGACGACCTGGGACAAGTCCCGGCTCTGTCAGCCTTGTGCCAGCACCTTGCCGTGCGTGAGAAGAGAGCAGCCAAGCTCAGAGAAAAGGAAAAGGCAGGCACACACGGAGGGGCCTCTCTTCTTCTGTAAGTCACCGTCTTACTGCCGCGGCTCTAACACAAGAATCCAGCCCTGGGCTATGTGTCCGGGTGGCCACTTCCTGCGGAGACGGGTGACCGGCAGTTTCAGCGCTGGGCTCAACTGGGGCCGCTTGTCTGCGGGACAAAGGGGCCCTCTGAAACCCGGGCTGGAAATAGCAAAGAATCCTCGCCATTGAGGAGCTGCACGCTTGCCCTGGGTAATCACCTCCCTCACCGCCCACCACGGAGGGCGCGCCGCTCCGTGCATCCGGCCTTGCAGCCCGGCCAGGGAGCGTCACGTCTTTGTGCCCATGGCACGACCCTTCTGGGCTCGCCGGTCACTCTTCCCATAATGCACGGGTTCGCTGGGCCAAGAAGGAAGGACCTGTGTCCTCCTTCTCTCCTTGGTCAGGGGACGCCAGCGCGCCCTTCAGCCACCCTTCCAAGAACTTCCCAGGATCACACAGGTGCACGTGGCACAGTCACACAGCCATGGCAACAAAATACTAAAGTGGCATCCCAGTGACACTTCAGATCAGCCTGGCGTCCACTGTCCTTTAGGGGGACGCACACCTGTGCTCTGGCTGACCCCTCAGCATCCTGACAGCCCTATTTTAAATGCAGCATCTTACTTTCCAAGAGACGTGTGGGACTGGGAGGCATGGAGATCAATGTTCTGGGGCTGTGCACGCTCCCCACACCCCCCGCCGCGCTCTTCACAACCTGACAGGTGAAAAGAAAACTGAGTCTGAGACCAATGCCTTGTCGTTGTAGACCCTGGAGACGATGGACACAGGGAAGCCGTTCCTCCATGCCTTTTTCATCGACCTGGAGGGCTGTATCAAAACCCTGAGATACTTTGCAGGGTGGGCAGACAAAGTGCAGGGCAGAACCATCCCCACAGGTGAGCCAGCACGGGACCCTCAGTCTCGGGAGGGGTCTTTTGGGGACCCTGTCTTTCCCTTCCACCAGGTGGCCTCGGCAGAGCGCCTCTGGCCATTTCTCCAGTCCCTTCCCGGTCCCCAAAAAGGAACGGCGTTGTGCTGATCCTCCTAAGGAATTTTGCTTTCGGAATTGACTTGAAACCGCTTCTTTGTGTAATAGACACAAGACTTAGAACTGACCCCTGTGTGGGCTTCTGGGTTCATTTCCTGTCTTGTTCCTACTTAAAATTCGCCCCTCTAGATTAACGTGCCTTCCTCCCCTCCCTGTAACCCTTCTTGCAGATGACAGCGTGGTGTGTTTCACCAGGCACGAGCCCATAGGTGTGTGTGGGGCCATCACTCCTGTAAGTAGCTGGATCCCTGCAACCCACTCCCTTGGGGCCCGTAGAACCAATGTGCGGTGTGTTCTGATTGGCTGTCGCCGGCATTAACTGAGCATTTGCTCTGTAGCATGGAGCTCGGTGCTTGAGGGTCACCAGGGTGGATCCGCCCGCCTTCCCGCGCTCAGGGGACAACTCTGGGCACGTAGCAGAAGGCGGCCTGGATTCCAGACAGAGGGGCCCAGATGGTCTCCTAACTGGGCCCTGAAGGATAAGCAAGAATGTGCAACAGGCAAAAAAGGGGTTTGTTAGTGAAGGAATGGCACGAGCAAAGGCCTGGAAGTGCCTGGGGGGCTTCAGTGGCGGGACAGCTGGAGGCACCAGAGCTTAGATGGGGGAGGGAGTGCGGAAGAGGAGGAACACCTGTGTCAGGGGGCGGGGGCCCAGCTTCCAGTGGCCTCGGCGGCTGAGCATCGGGGACTTTATTCTCCTGGCAGTGAGCAGCCTGGCAGGGGCCGGGAAGCCCCCTCTGTAAATAGCAGCGATAATGCGGCGACCTCAGGCTGCTTTGTGAGGATCAAACGAGTTCACGTGTCGTGAAGTGCTTAGAACGGCACCTGGCACACGGCGAACGCCAGGCACTGGCTTTTGTTAAGCTTATTGTCACCATGGCTTCGGCATCCTTGCCTCTGTAGTCGAAAGATGACAAGAAAAGCGGTTCCCAAGATGAATTTCGCCAAGCGCCCGTTCCCTGGGGGACTGGTGTGCGTCGGGTGGCACCTGGGTTCAGGAGAGGCGGGCCTCAGTTTTGCAGGAAACTTCAGAGCCTTTAACACACTAAAGGCGCTCCAAGGGGGCCCAGACACTGGGATCCTCTTTGCAAAGAATAACAATCAGCATCCCCCCGCCCTCCACCCCCAATGCGCTTAGGAAGCACCAGGCAGGAGAGCAATTCGGATTGGTGCAAACGCCTCTGGTGCCCCTGATACCCCAGATCTAGACCGTGCCAAGCAAGTGCCCTCCACAGAGGCTCTGCTGGGCACCCGAAACAGGGTAGCGGGCTGAATCCGGGTCCCCCCATGCCCTCTGTGCCTCGTTGCAGTGGAACTTCCCTCTGCTCATGCTGGTGTGGAAGCTGGCGCCCGCTCTGTGCTGTGGGAACACTATTGTCATAAAGCCTGCAGAACAGACGCCCCTCACCGCCCTCTATCTCGGCTCTCTGATCAAAGAGGTAAGGCGTCCAAAAGGAAAATATTATGGGTTCGTGATAACAGCCCCGCCCCCGGGCAGCCGGCCACTGTGCCGAGGTAAAGCTGCCCCGCCGCGCGGTGCTGTGCGTGACAGCACAGCCTGCTCACGGCCGAGTGGGAAGGGGATGACGCCTATTTCACTTGGCAACTGCCCGTTCTTCCTCCTGCTCCTGGTCACTGATCTAAAAAGAGCTCTATTCTTCCCGCTGATCTGCATGAGAAGACTCAGCGCTCACTATGGGCTCACGTCTACGTTAGGACCCAACGTTTTCCCCAGAGAATTTGCAGGACGGTCGCTTGGGAGGGAACTGAATATTTGGAGGTTTGGGGGGTCTTGCATTTGTGGTGCCCGAAAGGATCCGTGTACGCCTGGGAAGAGTGGTCTTGGCAGCCCTGCGGAAGTGACTGTCGCCCAGCCAGACTCAACTGCGCCCTGCTCTCGGGCGGCCGATCTCTCCTCAGGGAAACAGCCCAAAGGGACACCTCCCTCCAGACACACGGGGCGACACGGTTCAGTCACTCTGTCCCCAGCTTCAATGCTGCAAAGATTTAAAAGAAGAAACAGGCAGGAAAGAGGGGTGGGTGAGAAGATTCATGTGCATCACTTTTCCACCGAGCTGGTAGGAGCACAACTCAGAAAATTTATTGCTTCGGTGGAAGGTTGGTTGGCGCAGCCAGTAATTGACCCGTTTCCCATTTTCCTCTGACCAGTGACGTGGGGCACGAATAAGTCCTATTAAGGAGACTTAAAGATTCTAAAATCCCAACTGTTAAAAAACAGTGTCTAGGAAAACGAAAATCTCAAGCACCGTGTCCTGAAATGTTGCCTTTGTAACACAATGAGTTTCAGATAAGACCCTGGGCACGCGGGGCAGAGCGCCCCCTGCCTTGCTCCCCTATGCCGGTCTCGGTTAATCCGGAGGCCTCGCGTGTGCAAAGCACAAGGCGTGCGTGTGAAAGGAGGGGCAGCACCTACCTGCAAGAGCAGCAGGTCGGGTGTGACTCCGGTGCAGCAAGCGAGATCCTTGAAGGGGTGACGTTGTGTGGCCATGTGAGACAGGAATGGGGCAGATTGGAGAAATGAAAATGGAACCCTGCGGGCACCCTGGCGCCCACCCCCGCCCCCGGCCAACAGGTGACCGCGCCCAGACTTCCCAGTGGGGACGCCACTCTGCTTGGGGACATCACTTAGCCATGGCTCTCTCAGCCCAAGTGTGGGTCCATGCTGGACACTGGTCCCTTCTCTTACTCGAATGCCGTCTTGGTGTCCCCTCAGGTCGGGTTCCCTCCAGGTGTGGTGAACATCGTGCCAGGATTCGGGCCCACGGTGGGAGCAGCAATTTCTTCTCATCCTCAGATCAACAAGATAGCCTTCACCGGATCCACAGAGGTAACGCGCCCCTGCCCCCGACTGGCTGTTGGCCACAGTGACGTCCGCTGCCTGATTGGACAGCTGGGAACTTTTCCTTTGAGAGGCTGTGACTCGATTTTCCTTTTGAATCTGACTAGGTTTTCATACGTAGCAATCAGTTTTGAAACCTCACTGGTCCCATTTCCAATCTAAATCTATATTTATTAGGACCCAGAATCCTTAGGAGGAACAACTGCTGGTAAGAGAAAATAAAAATGGGAAACAGCCCTATGACAAACAACATCGTAATTAAGGTCAAAGGGCAAATAACAAGCGGGGAGAAAGGCAGTCGAAATTTATGCAGCTCCCCAAAGGCACAGAGCCATCATATGTAAAGTGCTCCTAAAAATCAATAAAAAAAAAAGGCAAATTGATTGGTGGCAAAGCAGGCAGCTCAGAGAAGAGAAATTCTGAATGCCCAAAAAGCTTGACTTAGTTCCCCAGTAACCGGGGAAATGCAAAATCATATGCATATTGGACTCTTCCTTTTTCACCCGTGAGACCGGAAAAAATTGAAGTCTGGTCTAAATGAGGCGAGGGGACAGTAGGCACCTACAGTTCCTAAGGTGGAGGCCCTTCTGGCAAGACCCACCACACATCTGGGAATGTGTAAAACTTTTGATTTAGATTTTGCAGCAACTACTTAGAGCAGTAATTTCACAAGCATTTGTATTTTCTCGTACATTATATTCATTCTGTGCAATGTTGACCGTCTTTAGAGTAAGGAAAGCTGTCCTGGTCGCTTGCAGGAACGTATATATACAAAATACAAAAAAAAGTGACTTGTAGGCACGTATATATAATGTGATCCCATTAGCTAAAGTGTATGGAGAGAGGTAGAAATTGACTAAGGATTTCCGGGGACCTCTTTACCAGGGCCACCTCTGGGGCGGGTCCTAGGGTGAAGGGAGATGAAAACTTTCCCCCTTTGGTTTACATGTGTCTGTATATGGGATTACTTTTAATGAGACAGTACTTTCTCTGTATTTAAAAAAAGAAATGAATGGCCCTGGCTGGTGTGGCTCAGTTGGTTGGAGCATTGTCCTGTAGACCCAAGAAAAGTCACCCAGGTGTCCTAGGCCAAGCCTCCACCCTGGCAGCGCATGAGATGATAGGAGGGACCCTTCCGGGGCGTGCGGGAGGTTGAGCATCATGGTTTGGTGGGGGGTCCTCTGTACTTCACAGCCCACTGGTTCTCCCCGCCCCCTGGAGGAGGTCCCGGTCTTAGCGTGTATTTCCATAGAACTGACTCCTCATCCTGAAGGTCTGCCCCCCTAACTCCCGCTCAGAGGCTCCCTCAGATGATACCAAAGAGACCAACAGAACGAGCTCCCTTCCTAGCGAGAGGTAGAGGAGCTGCCCCTTCCTCAGACTAGCTGGACTGGCCTGATGCCAGCAGGGGTGGCCCCCAGGGACAGGGAAGGGACAGGGAAGGGACAGGTCCTCCACTGGCCAGCTGTGTAGCCATGAGCGCATCGCTGGGCCTTCCTAAGCCTCCCACGCCACCCCCGTGTGGGGGGCAGCTCAGACCAAGGGTTCTGGCTATTTTAAGGTCACAAGGCACTGGGAGCAGCCAGGGAGGGTAACGAACATTTGGGCCACGTCTGACCACATCCAAGGTTTAATCTGGTCCCTTTGTTATCCTGAAGGTTGGGAAGCTGGTCAAAGAAGCCGCTTCTCGGAGCAACCTGAAGAGGGTCACCCTGGAGCTCGGCGGGAAGAACCCCTGCATCGTGTGCGCCGACGCCGACTGTGAGCTCCCCCTGCTGGGCTCTGCTGGGCTTTAGGGAATTTGGGAGTCGCTCCCTTTGCTGAATTCAGGACCGACACACGCATGTGCAAGATGGGGATGTTCCCCACCTGGGGCGCCCTGCCACATATAGGCAGATGGTGATAAAACACCAGCCTTATTGCAGATAGAGAGCTCCCCTGGAGGGGGACGTGTCTTAGGTGGTCATTGGGGGGCTGCCTGATTCTGCCCTTCAAGGTTAAGTTTACATTCCCATCCCCGTGGACAAAGCCAGTTTCTCCTCAGAGACCCCTGAGCGGGCAGGGGCGGAGCACAGGGCCAGAGAAGCAGGAACAGGGCAGGTGGGTCCCCCTCCTTAGTCATTCTACCCTTGGAGCCGGTATCCGTCTAGCACTTTCAGGGTCTCCAAAGACTTGAAATGGCTTCCGCCACCTCTTCCCCAGAAAAGCAACCCTCTCAGGCAGCCCAGTGCCCTATTTACCTGTTGCAAAGAACAGCCTCCCCTACCTGCCCATTCGTGCCAGAAATTCCTTTCCGGAAGAACAAAGCCTTCCATTCCATGCTCAGATAAGGTTGGAATTGCAAATATCTCTGAGAAAAATGACCCAGTGGCCGGTGGCATTTGTTCTCCTTGGGGCTGGCTCTCCGTGGGAGAGAGGACTATGTAAGCAGACTGCCTAGTATCATTATTATCATTTTGCCTGCGTTGGCGCTCCCTTGCGGAAGCATCGTGAATGTCGCTAATGGTTTCTGGAGCCACGTGGGCGTTGGCCACTGGGACCCACATTCAGAGTTCCAAGCTCCAAGCGTAGAAAGAGCCAGGGCTCTGGCTTTGCTGAGTGCCGCCCTATCTGGGTACCCCATCTGCGCCTCAGCTCACGCCCTTTTCTTCCCAGTGGAAAAACTGCAACTCAAACCCAAGACTCCTTCTGCCTGTGGGGGCGGTGCTGGTCCGCAACATTAAATCCTGCCGTCCCTGGCCCGCCAGGTACGGTATCAGCGACAACACACCACCAGCTCCCACACGGCAGCCACTACCCCCACTTCGGTCAGGAAATGAATGAGTGAGTTTGGAGGAAGGGCGTTTTTAAGTTGGCACGAAGAGTAGGGGGTGCAGAGAGGGACAAGAACCTTAGGATGCTGTCCTGCTACCACACAGACTTACACAGAAGCCAGTCAGCGACCGCCTGCCTCCCAAAGCCAAGGGCAGCGTTGCTTGGAGTTACGCCAAGAGCAATGCCAGGTGTTGGTGCTCATGCACCTGCGCAAGGGGGTCCTGGCTTTTGCTCCGTGCAAAGAAAAGCTGCATTTCCTCACCAGTGTGTGTGTGGCGGTGGTGGTAGGGATTAACATTAAAAAACCGCACGCCCCCCCGAATGTAAAAGACATCTCACGTATCACCCGTACGCACTAAGCAGGTCCCCAGAGATCTTACTTACTAAGCACCCTCTAGCTCGGTTTCAGTCCCTGGTTTTAATTCAAGGCCAACTCTGCAGTTGAGATTCAGACTTTGTCGGGCAGAATCAGCGCTTCCTCTCTCTTTTAACTCTTATAAGTCATGCGCAGTGTTACATGAACTTAATCAGACCCTTTCTGCCGCGCAAGGTAGGAAGCACGGGCTCCTTTAAAAGTTCTCGCCAACGGGCCTACAGCAAATACTTAGCAAAGGTTATTCTGGAGGACGTTAGTCCTCCAAAAAAGGACGGGGCCCATGAGCAAGTGAAGTGGGGACAGAGGCAACTCCCTGAGCTTATTAGCACAGTGGGGACTTCTTCAACCCCAGATGCGGTGGACCCGGAGGTCCTGGTTCCCATCCCCTGTGTTTGGGAAGCGCTGAGAATGAAATGAATTTCTGGAGTCCCGGAGCCTGTTTTCTTGTGTGGGCAATTAGACTTGCAGCTGTGGCCCGTCCTGCTCTAACGACTTAATGCTTCCTCCGGCCCCGCCGCCCCCCTCCCTGCAGTGGACTTGGCAGTGGAGTGTGCCCATCAGGGAGTGTTCTTCAACCAAGGCCAGTGCTGTACAGCCGCCTCCAGAGTGTTTGTGGAAGAGCAGCTCTATGCGGAGTTCGTCAGGAGGAGCGTGGAGTACGCCAAGAAACGGTCCGTCGGAGACCCCTTCGATGCCAGAACGGAGCAGGGGCCCCAGGTAACCTACTGATGCGGGGGAACCCGCGGTGCGTGTCTGGGAGCTGAACCAGGAAGCTCCTCGGGCCCTGGCCTGGGCCACTGCGGTACAGCGTGACTCCAGGGTCCCTCCCAACGCCTACGGGGGGCTGACTGGCCTTCCCACTTAAGGCTTCTGTTTAGGCGCCAACCAATGGTCCGGTTGCATCCCCGTCGGGTCTCAGTGGGGTTTTGAAACAGGGCTGGACACTAAGAGGCTTTGCTTTTTGCAGCAAATGATGCCAAACTCGGGGCCTTGCCAGCAGTGGGGGCCGTTCCCAGTCTGTAAGGCCATGTGCCTGCCCCCTCCGGCCACAAGACCGCCCCTTCTCAGAGCCACCAGGGTGCCCAGGAGAGATCCCCGGGCCCAAGCTGCCTTACCAGGCTGGTCTCCCTGCAGAAGAGGGTTTGTAACCCTGTCCAAAGGGCTGCCAAGACAGGCGGGGGCTGTGCCTGGAGCTGGTGGTCTCAGCCTAGATGCCGTCAAGCCTGTGTGCGTTACAGGACAAGGTGACTGTCAGCAACCACAACATCCCGGTGCAGAGAGGTCGGGGGCGGGGGCGGGGGCGGGGGGACCTGGTTTGAGAAGCCACTGACAGGATGAAAATGATCATAACCACAGGGTTTTATAGCCCCTTTAAAAGGGCACATCCTGTATCACTTTCTTACTAATTATGCAGTCCAGCCCATGGGTAAATATTTAAAAGAGGGCAGCCTGACCATCCCATGCATTATGGAAATGGAGTCTGGCTGCAGCCCACTTTGCTTGTAGCCAAAGTCCCACCCCGGCCACGAAGTTTCAAATCACGTGTCGGGACTCAGCCACTCGCCGCTCACCCACTGCACCGCGTGTTTACACGGTGAAGCTGCAGAGCGGGGCACAGATCTGGCTCTGTGACCGTATGAAAAGTCACAAGCACCTTCCAAACCTCAGTTTCCTCGACTGGAAAATGGGAGTAATTGACAGCTGTTTTAAAAATTTCAAGGCACCGGGTAAGCCTTTTTTTTTGTAAAGCAGGGAGCATTAAATGACCGGCTCTCAGATCTCAGCAGCAATGAGTGGCTGTGCGTGACTCTGGCCATTTCAGTCGGTTCTTGCTTGACCTGTGGGGTCGCTCTGGCTGGGGACGGAGGAGGACCACGTGGACGAGGTGCATTCTGGCCACGGTGCCCGCAGGCTCTGGAGCTCTGATGCCACGTGACCCTGGGGGAGAGCAGTATCTCTGCCTGTGGTCAACACTCCCCACCGTGCCAGCGACACAGAGGTTGTCTGGCGGCCTTGGCTGGGTTTCATATCTGAACATGAACCCAGCCACAAGTCATTGTCAAATCCACCATGATTTTACAGCCGATCCAGAATCCATGGGAAAATATGTGGGCTGATCCCGTTCTAAAGGAAACTCTTTTACCCCCTCATTATTCGTAAGTCTCTTTCCAAGGCTCCGGGCTTGACTTTGGAAGCCAGATAGAGGAACCTCTTTCCAAGGGGGCAGATCCAAGCAGAATGGGTGTTGATTTCATCAGAGCTTTTGATGCCTCCACTGAAAGTTCTTTTTGAAAGCTCACTTAAGCCGTCCGACCTCAGCGTATTATTTTAGGATGCTGTTGGGTTGTGTTTTTTTTTTTTCTCCCAAAGTGCTTTTTCATCTACAGTAATAAGATTTCACTCTGGGAGGACTTACAGCTGTCTAAATAGTTAGGTCTGTCTCATGCCCGTAAAACAGCTCCATGACCCAGATCCCTGTTTGCTGCAGGCAAACTGCTGGCTGCAATGCTCCCAAATCACTCAGGTTTGTTTGGCAACTGAGCTGCGAGGCGTGTAAACATCACGCAGGCCACCTGGCGGGGCTGATCCAGCCTCCGCCCCAGGGGGCCCAGTGCAGCCCTGGGCCGGTCCTGCAGGGACCGTATTTCTGTCACGTGGACCCGCCGGGGAAGCCGAGTCTGGATGCAGGGTCTCCACGGGGACCCAGTGCTGCAAGACAGCCAGGCGCGGGGCCTGGTCTTATGTGGCCAGCAGCCACTGTAGTTTGATGAAGCCGGAAAGCCCTCTTGGCCTCCCAGGAGGAGGTGAGAATCACACCTGCAAGTTTGAACCCAAGACTCAGTTGACCCAGAGAGAAGTTGAGAAAACCCTGAGATATTACGGTGGCAGTTGCTTGAATTACGTTTTGAAATGTGAGTGCATACACATGCGTGGAAACCCAAAACACGCATAAAGTTTTCCTCGCCTGGGCCTGGTTCCCTCCTTCCCCCCCCCGCCCCCCACCACGATAGGTATCCCACATTCTTAGTGTCTTGTGCATCACTCTGTAATTTCTTTATGTGTATGCAAGTGCATATGGATATATATCCTGATTCCCTAGGTTTTTACCCAAAAGTTAACTGTGATATCTATACTGTTTTGCACCTCAGTTTTTGTCCCCTAATAAGAAACTGGAAGAGTAGTCGGTACTAGTCCATGGGAACCTGCCTCGTCCTTTGTCACAGACACATAGACTCCTGCCATATGACTCCACCAGTATTCAAGTGGCATGTTCTGATGACCTTGCGGGCGTGTGCGGTCACGTGCAATGCCACCAAGTATGTCATTTTGCACACGTGCAAGGAAATCCACAAGACAGACTCCCTGCGTAGGATTGCTGGGTGAGAACACACCTGTGAAGCGTTGTTCTACAAGCATTGCCAAGCTAACATCCAGGAGGATGAATCAGCTCATGCTCCTACCAACCTTGTAGGAGCTTGTCTGTTTCTCCAGACCCACTACCACAATGTGGGTATTTGCCCATCTGATAGTTAAAAATGGCATCTCCCTTGGCTTTAAAATGCATGTATCTCTTACAATGAGTAAGGTAGAACATCTTGTCACAGGATCAAAAGCCATCTGTATTTACTCTTCTTTTGGCTGTGCACATGGTGTGCATGTTTTGCTGCGGTATTGCTCATCATTTTTATCACTTCTAGGAACTCTCTACGTACTAGAGATTGACTCTGTTTCTATGATGTGACCGGTGAAGTTTTCCCAGTTTATTTTGCCCTTTGACTTTGCTTATGATGTTGTCTTTTTTTGTTTTTTTTAACATAATCAAATTTATCAGGGTTTTTGTTTTGTTTTTTTGGCTTCTGGATTTTGAGTCATAGAAATGCCATCAGCTCTTCAAGTTTACAGGCTTATTTTGGCATGTGAGAGAATTTAAAAACTTTTATGCTTTCTTTGTCCGTGGCTAAGTCTTTGATCTGTTTGGAACTTATCCTGGTATAAGGTGTGAGATACGGACCCACCTTGGTATTTTGACACGTGACCACACTTCATGAATGGACTGGTCCGGTGACATGTATGGTTTCTGCCCATCCCTTCTCATAAAGCCAGCCTGGTGCTCAGTCACAGTCAACCAAATGCACCACTGGGTTTGTTTTGTTTTATTTTTTTCCTTAAATTTGTTCCAACGAAATCAGGTTTTCTATCTAAAAAGCTCAACTCTAGCACACCTATCAAAGCTCTCTCTCTCCCAAAGAGGAGGGGCTAGCAGCAAAGTCATGGTCAAGAACAGGCCTCCCACGCACTTGGGGAAAAGGACCAGCGGGGGTGGGGAGAGCTCTCCGCACCTTGAGACAGTTGGTTGGACGCCACGCCCACAAGCTGAGTGTTAAGCTGGTTGCACCGGCCAGGCTCTGGCTGGGGAGTCCCCTAGACAAGATGCTAGATGTTGGAGACTTCCTGGTGAGCTGACTCCCCACCAATGAAGGAGCAGCCCCTCCAGCCCACCTTGAGCCTCATCCACTCTGTCTCTGGGGATGCTGGGCCAGGCAGGCAGCCTCCCGTCCCCCTTCTCCCCTGCACCGCAGACAGAGAATTCCAACAACCGTTCCCCTGACCCAGAGCGCCCTGTGAGCAGGGCACAGCGTTGCCAGATGAAACATGCAGCACCCAATTAGATTTGAAGTTCAAATAAATGGTGAATACGTTTTTTAGCATAACTATCTCCCAAAAATGGTTTGGGAGATGCTTCTACTAGGAAAATCATTCCTTGTTTTTCAGAAATTTAGATTTCACTGGGTGCCCTGGAGTTTTATTTGCTAAACCTGGCAACCCTCGCAGGATGCACAGAGTTAGGAGAGAAAAGAATAAGACCCCTCGGGTCTCATATTACCCACGGATTTGCTTGGTGACATGGAGGGGTCAGACATACGGACCAACCCCACGCCTGGCGAGGGTGAGCATAGCCTGTCTCCCAGCTCCGTCCTGCTCCAAAGAGCCCTGAGTGGTACATGGGGACCAGTTGCATCCAAGGCACATTCGTTTCACGAATTTATGACTTGGCGAGAACGTTTAGGGGCAAGAAAGCTGACCCTATTGAAAGCCACCGGGTGGGGTGCGTTAGGGGGCAGCCACCACCCAGAAGGACGTCAGGCACTCCTTCTTGTTTTGCAGATTGACCAAACCCAGTTTGATAAAATCCTCGATCTGATTGAGAGCGGCAAGAAGGAGGGAGCCAAGCTGGAATGTGGGGGCTCGGCCATGGAAGACAGGGGGCTCTACATCAAGCCCACCGTCTTCTCGGAAGTCACCGACACCATGCGGATTGCCAAAGAGGAGGTACTGCAGGAAAAGCAGCAGCCCATGGGGCCTGCTGAGCTTGTGGGGGGAGGGGCGCTGGGCTTTGCGTACGAGGGTCTGCCCTGTGGCTCAGTGATTCCAGGTGGCTTTGTGAGGGGAGCGTTTTTTTCTGTCCGGAGTGTCCTTTTTCCTTCCCCTTGGGGTTCTTACGGAAGCCATCTTGCCCTCCTCCACCCCCTGCTTCTGGAAATCCCTCGTCCTGTGTACAGGGTGCAGAGTGTGTATGTCTCAACTCCCCCTTTCCACTCACGCCTCATCATCTCTACACGACAACAATCCTTCTCCGTCTTCTAACACATCTCGGAACGGAAGGCGACTGCCACTTGAGTATTTCACCAGGAACGGTGGCTTGAAGGCGCAAAGCTGCCTTCAGTTGCTCAGACTGACGTTAAACCAGTGTTCATTCAAAGAACACATCACGAAGGAGATCCCCGCTGAGATTTTCCATCATGGGTGTCCTTGGAAATAAATAGTGGAAACTAAGGTGTCCCCCCCGACGACTAACTTTGTCTTTCAACCCCGCCCTGAGGCTGGGTGGAAACCAATTCCTCCCGCCACAGTCCCAAGTGGTCAGACCCTGGGATGGAAGAGTGAATTTTATAGATTTTCTCCTTGAGGTTTTTATGGGTCACTACCACTACCATGATGGCGTAAGACCCAGCTCTCGAACCCCCCCGCCCCACAACAAAAGCTCCTTGGGAAGGTGGGAAGGTATTCGGCAGGCCGGCACCGGGCCGCAGGATTCTGATCATGCTGAATATCAAATCGATTCCAAGCTCCCTCCAAAACTACCTGTACATGTTCAGGCTTTAGCTCTTGCTTTTCCTTTTCTTCGCTGTGTTGTTGACTTCCTCCCTGGGGAGTGTGACGGAATCATGTCGGGTCATCTTCATTGGTGGAAAATGCAATTCTACGAGAGGTCAGGACGCATGGTCCTACAGCTGTGTCGGTGAACCCCCTTTGGGACAACTTCCCAAGAAAAGTGTCCAAGGGTTTGTTTTTTGCGCATCTGAGCACACCGGCTACTCCAACGCCCAGTGCCCCGATGTCAATGAGAGATCTGAAACCCAATATATACTTCGGGCTGTGGTTTCTTATTTCTGTTTCATTTTAACCCTTCCCTTCAGATTGCAACCAACAGATAGCTAAAAATGTCCTTGGACAAACTTTCTTGTCCGGTCATGTTTTTTTTGTGCACATGAGCACTTAGGGTATAAGGAAAGGCATGCAACCAAGAAATGCCTGTTCAGGGCATGTGTGTTTTCCTGGAATGTGCCTTTCATTACCATGTTTGCAATCGATCCCAGATTTTTGGACCGGTGCAGCCAATACTGAAGTTCAAAACTATCGAAGAAGTGATCCAAAGAGCAAACAGCCTGGAATACGGGCTCACAGCAGCCGTGTTCACCAAAAACCTGGACAAGGCCCTGAAGCTGGCCTCCGCGTTAGAGTCCGGCACTGTGTGGTGAGTAGAGGCATGCGCTTCGGCTCTCTTGAGCGGCTGGCTTAGCAGCATCATGGCCCTTCTGTTAACAGAGAGCTTCTAGTCACCTGCTGCCGGCCCGGCATTGTCTTTGCTTTGCTGAACCCTCCCAACCGCCGTCTGAGATAGGTACCATTATTGTCTTTATTTTATACATGAGCAAACATAGGCACAGAGAGGTGGCGTGACCCGCCTCGGGTCACACAGCATCACACAGCTAGCACATGGCAGAATGGAGCTCAGAGCCGGCCACCCAGCTCTGGTGCCCCTCCGACTTCGCTCTCTCTGGCTTTATATTTTTATTCTGATTGTAAAAGCAATTCACGCTTCTGTGCAAAGTATGCATGAAAAATGCCTGCTTCGCCAGTCATTCTACAGATTACTGTGTCCTCACTTAAAGAGAATATTAGTTGATAAAGGTGAACTGGGCTCGGAGAGGCTGAGGAATATGGACCAAATCCAACAGGCAAGAAGCAGGAGAATTTTGAGATCAGCTCCATCCCATTTCAAAGCTAATCCTTACTCCTCTACACCATAATTTTCCTCTGCTTCCTTGCCCCCTCCCCACCCCCTTCCTATAAAGTCAGAGCTTTATACTTGAGGATATTCATTCAGATCATCTCTCCTGATGGGAAGAACAAGAAGGCAGAAGCTGAAAGCACACCGTTTGCGTTATTAAAACTGTAACACAAAGCCGATCTTTCGGCAACACTCTGCACTGAGCGCCTCGGAGCCAGAACGCCCCAGATTGAGGTGGGTCCCCTCCAAGTAACCACGAGCATCTCCTCATTCTCTTTCTAGGATCAACTGCTACAACGCCATCTACGCACAGGCTCCATTTGGTGGCTTTAAAATGTCGGGCAATGGCAGAGAATTGTAAGTGTTCCTGTCCCTCCACACCAGCTGGCAGGGTGAATAAGATGCCCCAGTCTGTCTCTGTGTGTCCCTCTGGGTGTCACTATGGCTCGGGGCCCCTCCCTCTGGGGCTGGTCTGGACCCGCACGCCCTCCTCTCTCCTGCCCGGCCCTCTGGCTCATTCTCTGCTCCTTCAGGCTCCAGGACCAGCCTCCAGCCTCAGCTTGTGTGTCTCTGACGCGCTTTGGGCACCTTCAGTAGATGCTGCATGAGGGCAAGGGCGAAACTGGAAAAGGGCCCTTTTTTTTGCCAGCCATAGAGTGTAATTACTCCCTCAAACCCCTGGCCCTCAGCAAGGAGGACAGGCTCTCTCCCAGGCGGGGCTCTGGCCCTGTCTGTCATTAGCAGAGGTCCCAGGGACAGACTGTGGGCGTCTTGGCTTCTTCTTGGTACTTCGTTGAGAGGCCTATGTGACATTTCCTGCCCAGCCTCCTGGTTCCATCAGACCCACAGCGCGCATCATCTTTCCCGGTTCCCTTTGGTGTCCCCCATTGGGCACACGTGGTCATGGGTCCTCTCTGATTGGCTGCCTCCAACCAATCAGCACCCTCACAGTCGGAGAGCCCCCGGCACAGCCCTCCCACAGCAAGAAGCGCAGTCCCCACAGCAGATGTTTTTGACTGTGGAAGCTGCGGGTGTGCGGAACCCACCTGACTCCCAGTGTGTACTGACTCCCACCAACTACTGCTTCCTGTTCTCACCCGCGTCACCTCTGTGTCCCTTCCCACCCCCACGATGGCGCTTTCAAATTCTTAACACCCTTCTGCCTGGCGCAGAGCAGGGCCGGGCAAGTATTCACCGAACACAGTCCATGTTCCTGCTGCTGAGCCACAGTCGGGACTTGTTTGAACGTCTGTTTTTTTGACCCTTGGCATGTATTTTCCCAAGGCTTTTGATAAAGTACTTTAACATAATTCACAGGGAGCCTGGAAAGGGACTTGAAAACCGATTTCCATTTTCAGTTGTCTCTAATTAATGTCTTCATGTTGCAATAAGTTCCCCTTTTTTCTGCTGGAACTCTGGACGGTGGATTCCATGGTTTTCCCCGTCCACGGCCGCCCAGGCCGGGCTGGCGACCTGCCGCCCACCCACGGGCCCTCCGGGACCTGATCCTGCTCAGGTCTCGAGAGGAAACCTGCAGTTTCTCTTTCTTCAGGGTGTTTCTCTTAGTTTCTGCTTTGCTTTGCAATAAAAGTAATACAGTCACAGGAAAATCCACATGGGCCCTGGCTGGTGTGGCTCAGTTGGTTGGAGCATCATCCTGTAGACCAACAGCTCACGGGTTTGATTCCTGGTCAGGGCACATGCCCAGGTTGCAGGTTCAAGCCCCAGTCTGGGCATGTACAAGAAGGCAGCCAGTCAACGTTTCTCTCTCACATTGACGTTTCTTTCTCTTTCCCTTCCTCTCTCTCTAAAAAGCAATAGGGGGAAAAAAATGTCCTCGGGTGAGGATAAAAATTCTCTTTTCAAAGTTATTGTGCATTTTCTAGGCACATAATGGATGCAGATACATGCATTCTTTTCTGTTTCCAAATGAAACAGGAGTGAACTACCTCTTGCTCTTGTGACGCGCTGGGGATGTGGTGTTCTTCTTTTCATTGGTGGTCTCCTAGGATGGACTTTTGTGTTATTTCCAGGTGGTTTTGCTCTTGCTAATCATGCTGATGTGCTTCCCTGTGCGTGAATCTTTACCCACCTGTGGGAGGCTGTGATGTCTGGAAAGGGTCACCTGGCTTTGTCACTCTGAAAGCAGTGACATTTATCACAGACGCTCGCTCAGCGGCTGTGGTCACCCTTGTGTCCCATCTGTGCTGAGCCTCTCGCCGCTCCCCGGGCCTCGCTCTTCTTACGGCTGGTCCCCAGCTGTGTGCTCTGAGGCCGCTCCAGGTCCTCTGTGTTCCTGGCCCTCATGGATCCTCTGGCCACAGCCCAGGCTGGGGCTTTGGGCCTCTGCTTCTTCCGTGCCTTCTGTGTCTTCAGCTGAAAGTCATTCATCCAGAGTCATTCACCTCGTGTTTTTTTTTAATCCTCACCTGAGGATATGTTTACTGGATTTTTAGAGAGGAAGGAAGGGGGGAGAGAGAAAGAAAGAAACATTGATCCGCTCTCTCCTGTACACACCTTGACCAGGGACTGAACCTGCACCCCAGGTATGTGTCCTGAGCGGGAATCAAACCTGCAACCTTTTGGTGCTTGGGACGACACTCGAGCCAACTGAGCCACCTGGCCAGGGACACTTTTTTTTTTTTTTCCTCTTCATTTTTTAAAAGGCAAATGCTAGTCCTTCTGGATCTTTCAAAAGCATGACACAAAAATCTTGATATTTAAACTTAAGGTACACATCCAGTTACTTAATCCTACACAAGGGGGCGCAGTCCCGGCTATTACTCTATGACACGTTTTGGCATTTTGCATAAATTCCAAGCTGCCCAGTGGATCCTCACGTGTCCAGCACTAAGACACAGTTCCCGGGGAAGGTCTGAGCGGCGTGCCCAGTTTGTTTGTATGTTCCTCTTTCCTGTGGTCACAGAGGTGAATATGCGTTGGCCGAATACACCGAGGTGAAAACCGTCACCATCAAACTGGACCACAAGAACCCCTGAGAGACGGACAGGCTCTTCCCTCCGACATCTGACAGCTGAATGTGGCCCATCAAACCTGCCGAAGAAAAAGTGCTGTTTCTGACCTTCCTGGCCCACTCTCTTCTGGAAACCTTTCCACTGGATGGGAACCATCTTTATTTTCCTCTCGCACTTCTGTTGGGGGTGAAATTGCAGTTCTGCCTGCAGGTGGCGCTATTGGGTATTTCCCACTTCCCTTTTCAACCAGGTCCCGGGGACAGGGAGGCGCCCGGGGCGCTGCCAACAGAAAATGGTGTTTGAAGTATCCAGCAGTCCCTTAAAAATGCTTTGCTGACTCTGCTTTGGGAAGAATTTGGAGAGACCTCCCCGTATGCTCTAGAAATAGGGCCCCGCACCTGCGGGTCCCTCAGGGTTACCTGCCCACAGAACAAGCCCCTCCTACCGTTTAGTTGAAAAGGAATAGCACTAAGTTAAAAAACAAAACCAACAACAACAACAAAAATAAACCAGGATTGCAAGGATCCAATGCGGGGTGCTCTGGGGAAGTAAGTACCGCGGAAGGTTACTGAAAATCTTGGGTGTGAAGCGGCTTGGGTCTACCATGACTACATCTTGGCCTTGACCTTGGGCCTCAGTTTAAAACCAATGCTGCCTTTGGAACGTGACTGGATCACCAGCCCAAAGAGCTTATCTGAAACGATGCGGGGTCTACTTTAACCAAGGCCCATTCTCAGGCAGAAAGCATCGCTAAGTGTCCCTCACTGTCACGGCTAAGCACCCAATGCTCTGACACTTCCAACAGCAGAGTAAATCCTAAGATAATTAAGTCCTGCATTTTACAGACCAGAGCCGTAACTCGCTTTTATAAATTATGCTTTTCTACCACTTGGATTCGCGCCTGTGTTGTTTTCCTTTTGTCCAGCTGGGTTGCCCATTTTAGATCAGTAAAACATACACAGCCAGGGAGGCTGCTGTTCTAACGCGGCCCCAGCTTTTTCAAGTCCTATCTTGGTATTAATTCGTGATTAATCAGCAAATAACACCCAGACCCCAGGGGGGAACTGGATTTCCTATTAAAGCGGCCTGATTTCTGCACTAACAGGTTGGGAGTTTTTCGTTCCCTCTTCGTGCAATTACAGCTTTAACTTGGAAAACGGAAGGTAGTCCCTTATGGCTTTCAAAAAACAAAACCAGACTTAAATTGGCTTCTCCTGAGAATCGAAACTACGCTCTGACTGTTATCAACTAGTACTCTTCTAATGGTGCTGATGTTTGAGAATTCCATTCTGTTTGTGAATTCAATCGGGGGAGGGACAATAATAAAATGAAGAGCTATGTCCAAACCAGTGTACGTATAAAGAAAGTCGTATATGGCATGGGGTTAGCCTTCTTTGCCAGAAATATGCAACACACCATTCTCTGTCCCTTCCACATCTGTTAGCACTTATCACTTACACTGTCAGTTAAATCAGGATTTAACTCATACACTGAATTTTCAGGATTTTATCTCAAGCAATTATAGACACTAACCTTGATAGCAATACATTAGAGGGTTCTTATTCTTTCACTGTACAATAACGTCTTTAATATGCAATGGTACATTATTTATAATGGGTATAGTTAATGTATCTTTTTATAGTTGTAAGTAAACAGAGGTGGTATATTTAACCTTCTGTAATATACTGTATTTAGAAAAGGAAATCTATTTAGGATTAGATTTCACTTCTTTGAAGGTTTACTCCTGTGGTATGGTTTAAAAATCTATTGGCCTGGGGATTCTGATCCTAGCTGCAGAGTGTGTTAACAATGCAACACCCATAAAATAAAGCTGGATATTTGAGAAACGTATTTTTTTCTTCATTTAAGGACCCAACCCATTTTAATCCTATGGCTGAGCTTTTTCTTTCTCAGACTTTCTGTACAAAATGGCTTATGCTCAAGCAGAATCAATAACTTAAGAACACAATTACATTGGCTCAATTGATCAGGCCTAGACTTCAGCCTGAGAGTGAAATCCACTTCCAGGTTTTGAAGACTGACCAGGCAGAGAGCTTCAGCCTCAGAGGCTCTGCGTCTTAGTCGGCAAGATGCAAGCTGTCGCCTAAACTGCCCAAGTCTCTGTTTATCATTAATTGATAAGGGCGCTTGGGTCAGATCCCTTGTCATGGAAGCCCTTCTGGATACATCCATGAATGGAGAAAGCTCCAACTGCTCAGCCTGCATGGGAACAGGAGATTCGAGGGAAATGAACTTTTCCTTCCCCAAAGCGTGGCCCTCTTAGGGAGCGATTCTGGGGACACCGGTCAGTTGCGTGTGTGTGTGTGCACGCATGCGCTCGTGTGCCTGTGGGGGGTGGGGCACAGGCCCACCCTTTGGAATGTCCTCGCTTCTCCTGATGCTGAATGAAGCCTCATGCCCCTGCTCCCAGCGTGTGGCTGAGCCGAGCTCAAAGGTGGATAATGAGGGACGTTGAAAACAGTGTCCGAGGAGGAAAGTCTGAGGAAACTGAGTACCTACCTGAAAAAAAACAAAAAAGCAAAAACAAAAAAGCAGAGGACTAGAAGATACCATGAGGGACAAGTCCCCTGCGTTACTTTCAGAAGGCAGAAATGTTGGGTCGGGGGCGGGGGGCGGGGGGCGAGGGGGGGTGGGGGGAAGGGTCCAGCGCACCCCACTGAGGAGGGGTCATTCCAACATGAGACACGGAGAATCCAGGTGGGATGTGGAGCCAGAGTTAGAGAACCTGGGTCAGCAGGGGTCAAGATGAAGAAACCGACCGGTAACAACCTTCCTCAGGCAAATCTGTAACTCATTCTGACGGGTAGAACCAACTCGAAAGAGTCCACCTGTGCATCGGGTGTCTTTTCTGCACTGCAGACGTTCCTAGCCTGTCCCCAAGCTCATTTCAAAGGGAAGTTGAGCTGCCCGAATCCGCAGCGTCCACGTCTCCTGTCTGCCCGGGTCTGTCCCGGCGCTGGGCGTGCGCTTCCTCGAAGCGCCGCTAGATGGCGCGGCCGCACGCCCTGAAGGCGCAGCACAGCGGTGGCGGGGGGCTCACTCCGAGCGGCGGCCACCACGCCCTGCAAATTATTAGGGACTCTTCCGCAGCAACCGCTGTTTTTTCTTTTGCATAATGGCATTAGGGCCGCTTTGGTAAGGACAAGTTTGCAGCACTGCACCCGTTCTTCTGGAAGGACGCCCCGTGGCCATAGAGCTGGAGGAGCAGCTTCTGGGGAGCAAAGCAAAGCTACCCGGGGGTCTCCTTGCCCGCCCGGGAGCGGTTCAAGTGGGGCGCGTCCGCGCGGTTGCGTGGAGGCCCTGTGGCTGCCCGCCTCTGGGAAATGACCGTGAGGGTAGTGGCGATTTGTCTCTGTGCCTTGCGCTAAAGCCTAGGAATGTCCCCGGCGTAACATTGCATGCGAGGGGCCTGGAGTGCGGTCCAAGCCGGCTCCTCTTTCTCCGATGGACACCCGGAGCGGAATCTGAGGCCTGCCTGGGGCGCGAACGTGCCTCTTCCTGCCCTGCGCCTGGGGAATGGCCTCCACGGTGTGAGAGACACACTGCCATCAGGTTGAAACATAATAAACTGCCAGCTTCCCCCCCGCCCCGCCCCATGTTTTAGCTACACGTCCCCCAAAGAACTCCAAACTCAAAATAATTCGCCAAATGATGGCATATGGATTGGCATACATCCATAATTAAATTAGTAAATTCATGTAATGGAAGGGGCGCCGTTTGCAAATATTACAGCTTTAAAAAGATACATTTCTCTATTGCACAAATGAATGTTCCCTGCCTTTTTAATATTCCTGCCAGAGCATACGGCCAATGTGCACAAGGCAGAGGTGATCCCGCGGTTTTGCTGCGGAGCAGAGCAGGGGGCCAGTGAAAGCGGGGTCGAGCCCAGAACCGGCCCATCTAATCGCCGCGCCGGCTCCGCGGCACCCAGACCGGGAAAGGACGTCGCGCCAGAAGGGCCCGTGGGCCCTGTCATCTCCCGGGCAGGAGCGCTGAATCTGATCGCCTCCGGTTGCCGGCTAGGGAAACCGAGGCAGGCCGCACGAGGGGGCTCCTCGTGCGGGTTCCGGGAGGAGCAGCCGCGGCCGGTCCTCGCCCTGCTCACTCTTCGCGCCGCCCGCGCGCCCGCCTCCCGCCCTCCCCGCCCGCCGGCGGCCGCAGGATTGAGGAAGTGCGTCTGGGCCCGGCCCGGCCCCCGCGCGCGCGGCCGGAGCGCAGGGGGCGGAGGGCAGTGGCACCGCCAGGCCCTGGCCCGCTGGCGTCCCCCCCGCCCCGCGCGCCCAGCCCCGTCGCCGTCACCACCGCCTCAGGTAAGCGCTGTCCGGGCCAGCGCCCGGCGCCCCGCTCTCCGCGCCCCGCGCCCTGCCCGGGATCCTAGCTGCCGCCTGCGGCCGCCCGCGTAGAGCCCTGGGCCCCGCCGCTAAGGCCGGCGCCCCAGGGGGCCGCCGAGGGCGTGGGGCGACCCTAGCCTCCCGGCCCCGCTCAGACCCCAGGCAGCCCGTGAGGTGGGGTTGTGCGGGACTCCGGATCGGAACCCCAAAACCCGCGCGGGACGGTGCCGGGGCGGGGGTGGGGGCGGAGCAGAGGCAAGAACCCAAAGCAGAAAAACAACCAGGGTGTCTAGATGCCTTCTCGTCCTTGGAGGAAAGCCCCTTCCTTGAACTTGGAGCGCGGCCGGCCGTGGGAGCGCGCGTGTGCGCGTGTGAGTGCAAGCGCGCGTGTGCTGGGGAAGGACTGCCGGGAGCCTCTTTCTGCCCCCGGGGCGGCTGGTGTCGCGGGAGGCCCGGGAGGACCCGGCGCGCTGTCACCCTCCTCAAAGTCTAAGGCATGCTGCGTGCCGAGCGTCCAGTCTCCTCTGGCCGATAAAAACCATCCCTTGGTGTGTGTGTGTGGGTGGGCGACTTTCCTGACAGGGGCGCAGAGCGAGGGCCCGGGGGTCGGGGCGGGGGAGGGGGCGTCAAGAGGAGCCAGGGGAGCCAAGGAAGAGGGAGACAGTGATGGAGGATATGGGGCCTCTGGGGATCAGGGAGATGGTGACTGAGAATTTGGGGACTTCTGTGGCCAGCTCAACCGGCCCCTGCCCAGTTGGAGGCCGCAAACTTTCTCTCTCACTACAATACCTCCGCAGGCAGGTGCCAGAGGGGCAGGGAAACAGGCGCCTCTCCCGTTGTCTGCCAGTTCCCCCTGAGCGTTAGAGAGGGACAACTGTTTGGAGCAACGTGAGCGCCTAAGGCCTGTTGTGATTGACGTAATTATCTTTGCGTCTGTCCTGGAAGAATAAAGAAATTAAATGAAAAACACGCCTCTGAAGCTAATACAAAATGTTGGATGCAATTGAAAAATAAAATTTAAAAAAAGGAAACAACAGAACCTACAAACCTAAAGCAGACATTGGGGTCTGCCCAATTTCCCATCTCCCAGGGTTCCACACCCCCAGCATCAGTTCTCTGGCTCGGCTGGAGGGAGTTAGCTCCCACCCCACTCCCTCATCCCTTGAATGTGTCTATTAGCGAGTCCTGTTGGGTTGACCTCTCAGTGTGCCCACAGGTCCGGTGCTTCTTTCTCGCAGCTCCCCGTGCTATTACACGCCTCCCCCTGCCCCACTCCTTCTCTTTGGCAGCCAGAATGGTTTTTCTTTTTCTTTTTCTTAAATAAGTGAAGCAGATAGTGCATTCCTCTGCTGGGAACCCTTCCGTAGCTTTCCCCGTGAGCGGCGTGAAGCCCGGGAGCCCTTCCCTGCGCGCGCCCGGCTGATCTGGCCTCTGCCACCGCAGGCCGTCTGGCCGTGGCCCCCTGCCACCCTGGCGCACCCCGCTCTCCCGCGCGTGGCCTCTGCTGCCCACAGACTCCCCATGGCCAGCACGCTCTCCAAACCCAACCTCTCTCTGGCTCATATCCCTCTCTCTGTGTCTTTCTTGGGGTCACCACTGTGTTCCCCCTTTATCTGCTGGATTTCTTTAACTCCCTGGAGGTCCCCAGGGGAGCTCCAGGGGTCTGAGACTGTTCCTATGGGTCTGCCAGCTGGACTCCCAGCACTCTCCAGCAGGTGTACAGGAGCTACTGGCGCGGTGGCCGATGGCGAACGGACAGCCTTAACCTCACTGTGGTTTCATAACCCTGAAGGGCTTCTGTTCCCAAACCCTTGGGTGGTCCTGTGGGATTGAGAAGTACCCACGTCTCGGGCCTGGCAGGTCCATGATACTGTGAGGTCTGGAAATCCATCAAACACAGTTTGCAGGCAAGCCAGGATCGATCAAGGGACCCTAATGGTACCAAGGGACGTCTAGGACCATGGGCCCCCATCCCCACTAGGCTTTTGATGTGAGCATTTCTAACATGCTCTTAATTTGCAAGCGTCTCCCATTTCCTTGCTAAGCCTCCTGAAAAACCAGGTGAACAGGTCCAGAATCGACCTGTGTTTCTTCCTTCACTGGGCCTTCTCCGGCTGCCTTATAGGTGTCATGATCTCATGAAGATCACTCTTCATGAAAGAGCCCAATAAAAACACTTGCAGAATGCGTGTAGGTTCCTTTTTTCCTTTTTCATTAAGCTTTTGAGTTGATTCATTAGGACAGTTAGAGAGAGCTGGCAAAAGAAAATTGGTGAAGTTTAAAAACTTGTTAAAATAACGATCACTGCAGAAGACCTCTGGGAGCTCTCTTTCGGATGTACTTACCGTCAGAGGAAGAAAACATGTAATTTACAACCATCATTTGTTGCACTGGTCTGAACCCAAAAGAAGCAGGAAGAGAAGCAAAGATCCGCCTGATTGCATTGAGCAAAAACTCGAGTTACTTCATCTGAAAACTTCTACCTTAGTGCCTAAGCCAAAATACAGATTATAATTGAAAACTGCTCCAGAGGCAAAATCCTCCACTGGTAAAGCGATTTTCAAAAGGAAACTGAAAATAAAAAGGGGAACAAAATGTACTGGGTGAGGGTTGGCCTAAACTCTTTTAAAGGCTTTTTATTTTTTAAAATAAACACGTGATAGGGTGAGACTTCTGTTTTCAGAAGGAATGTCGCCCGGCATTTGGATTTTTGGAGCCTGTTGGATATGGCGGGGAGCTGATTTTGAGACGTGTTCAGAAGCAGATAGCCGCCATTCTTCTGGGTTTCTGAATGTTACTGGAACTTTAATTTTAGAGCAGAGGGTCTGTTTTGCTGCTGCTCCCTGTCCCTGTCTCAGGCTCAGAGCCAGTTCCACAACCTGCTCCCTGGGGAGACAGCACCCTGCTCTCCAGCACTGATATTCAGAGCTTATTAATTACAGGGCAGGTGGGTGGTGACCTCCTGGACTCCCAGCCCCCCAGCCCCCACTCTTACTGTCAGTAAAAACCACCACCCTGACCCAGTCATTGAAATCTTAAAATCTCACAGCAGCCCAGGGAGGTTGCCTGGGTGGAAGGAGATGCATATCTATTTTTAATAGATGATGCACATGCAAGTTTCACCTTGTGGTTACGCTGGGGCACGTGACTGAGATAATTCAAGCCTTTGGCCTTCATACTGTGCTTTTTTTTCTTTCCGCATTGTCTTGGACATCATTTACATGACATTTATTTATTTATTTATTTATTTATTTATTTATTTATTTTTAACCTGCACGATCTCTCTCCATCTCAGAGAACGGTTGCTAATTATCCCGTCCTTCACACGCAGTGCAGAAAATATACAAACGTGAACAGAAGCACGTGCGTTTCACACGGCAATCTACCCTTCGTGTCGTGCAATCTGCCCAGTGCCAGGCCTGAACCGGACCTGGGTTCTGCCCGCAAGGGGCTCTCCTGGCCGTTGAATCACCACAGCAGGGTGGGCCGTTAGGTCGGGGGACCCCCTCACCTCAGCGGAGAGAGCAGCCTCGTTAGCCTCAGGAGTTATGAGTCTTCTTCTCACTCAGTGTCCCTTGACGATTCAAACTATTTTGGGGCTGGATCATTCTCTGTGGTGGGCGGCTGCATGGTACGGTGTAGCGCGCTGTCCCTAACCCCTACCTGCTAGATGCCAGCAGCATCCCGCCCCGGTTGTGACAACCAGAAGGGCCTTCCGAGGATGCCAAATGTGCCCTGGGGGACCAGGGGGCAGGCACAATCTACGGGCCCCCCTTCGCTTACCCCGGGGGCTCAGAATGACTTGGCTCCATAACTAACGCCAACTCCGCCCACCTCTGGGCTTCCGGAGGCGTCTGTCCCGGGCAAAGGGAAGGCTTTGCTGCGTGACTCACTGTAACTGTTGTCCGCTGCACCCCAGCTGGAGCAGGAGCCCCACTTAGTTGTCTTGGAGTCACTGTGCAAGTGACAGTGACGTTTGTCGGTGGAACAACGATCGGACTCCCTCCCGGTAGATGTCCTGCCATTGTTTGGGGTTCCGGTCCGATTCTTCACAGGCGGACGTGATCGGAGCCTCGCTGTGAGCAGGCGGGGCCGGGGTAACTCTGCCCTTTTACTGTCCCATCCAACCAGGTACGGCTGTCTAGATAGACCGCGACGAGGAATACTGCCCAGGGAAGGGAGAATCCCAAGGAACCAATAGAAATAGAGGCCACGGTGCAGGAAGGGACCTGCCAATGAAGAAAAGCTTTCTGATTTTATGATTTTTTTTTTTTCCCCACCAGAACAAGATAGCTTTCTGCTCAGCCATGACTGCGGATCCATGCCTCAGACCTCCGCTCGGGCAGCAGTGGCGGTGACCACAGACAGCACTGACTTGGGAGAGCAGCCACCCCTCGGGTTGATGGCTGGCATGTCGGGGCGACTGCCCAGCATGTACTGGTGTGTGGGGCCGGAGGGGTCAGCCGCGCGTCCAGAGCTCGCCATGGACACGCATAATGGTAAGGACAGCGCTAGCCAGGGCTAACCCCCATGGGGGGGCCGGGGACCGCGTGAGAACAAGGAGCTTTCAACCGAAGGATCTAAAATGCCATGCCAACTACTGGGTGAATTTTTTTATTATAAAATATACCTTGGGATCCTCCCGTAAATTCTAAAAATTGAGGGGCTGTGGGACAGAATGTAATGTGCACTCAAAGATCTTTAGAGTCAGGGCATCCCTTTGTGTTGGGGAAAGAGATGTTGTGTAAGGGGAGAACTGGATTTTGGCTTGTTGTTATAAAAATAACTCACGTTTGTTAAAGAATAATTGGCGAGGGAAAGTAAGTAGAAAAAACCAAAGTCACCCGGCTGTCTCTTTGTCTCCAACACAAGTACAATTGAGCCTCTGTCTCTTCTCGCCCATTTCTCTGAGCTTCAGAGTTGTTTTCCTTTGATTTACTGAAACCCTGCTTTTTTCTCCTCATGTTGTGTTAGTCACCTCACTCATGTGGATCAACTGAAACACCATTTGAGAGCAGAGCCCTCTTGAAAATGATTAACCTAATCTGTACCGTCCTGTCGGATGTTTTGTGACGCTTGGGTTGCTTCTAGTTGCTCCCTGTGAGCAGAACAGCAAGTATTTCCATCTGTTTGAGATTATTTCCAGCAAATAGGTTTACGGAAGTGGGATTTGGAATTTGAACATGTTTAAGCCCCTTTACACGTCTTGCCAGATTTCCTACTTGAGTTGCCCCACTTTTAACATCAGTAGGGTATCACTGAACTTGTTGTGAACAATGAATATTGGTTAAATCCTCAGTACATACCAGGCACTGCGTTCAGCGCCTACTGAAGCAACTTCATTTAACCCTCACAACAACCTGTGGAAATGGTACTTCTAGTCCCACTTTATAGCTGAGGTCTAGACACTCGGTCAAGGTCAACAACTTGTAAATGACAGAGTTGCAACATAAACTCTGTCTCAGCCCCGGAACCCTCTCGTCCTTCAAGTCTAGGCCATCCTGTAGGGTGTGAGAGAGGACCTGTGTTGAGTTTGAGGGGACCCCTGCGTTCGTAGTACTAGACATTAGACATGGTACCTGGCTCAGCAAACATTTAGCTCCCTTGCTCAAGTGTTTTTTCTCCATTGACAAAGCCCAAAGGCTCCCTAGGGCGATGATTCTGGAAGATTTCTTTGTGCATAAATCAAACTATGAGATGGGAAAGAATTTGCTTCCTGACATCACCCGGCACTAAATGTCCTCCAAGTATTTGATTTGCATCTTTGACTTGAGAACACCCTGGACAGACCCAGAACCAGCCCTGCCCCGGGTCTTGATGCGCAGACACTGGCTAGCTTCTCGTCTTTTCCCTTGGAGACCTGTGTCTGACTTGTACTCTGCTCTTCTAACTCGTTGGGTCCTTGTCCCTGAAAGCACCAGATTGGAAGCAACAGGCTCCAAAAGTCTTTCCTGCCCCAGGGCCTTTTTCCCACTTAAATCTCAGGGCTCCCGCGCCCCTGTTTTGAATGAACCTCCAGGACACACACGTGGGTAAGGGAGCTGATGGAAAACATGCAGCAGCCCCACTGCCGGATACTGTTCTGGGTGCTTGGAAGTAGGTGCCAGCAGCAGAGGTGATGTCCTACGAACCCTGCTTCGAGGCGGGGCTGATGTAGGGGCCTAACACGTGGACCACAGAGTTGAAGAAGATGAGAGAGAAGCAGGCTGAAATACATGGGAAAATTCTGTCCTATGGCTTCGCCTGACGGGAATTATAGTCTCTATTTAGGGATTACAATGATAATTGAACCTTCTTACCGACTTCTACACAGGTACAAATTGATGCTCGTACTTGGAGAGTTGAAGTGTCCCATAGGGGACAGCAGAGGGGCTGAGCATGGGACCCCTGTCCTGGACCCGACCCCCCCCCCCCGTCGCCTGCCCAGGGATGAAACCCTGCAACACCCCCTCCTGAGGGCAGCAGGCTGCTTACTTGGTGGCCTTCCGGCCTCCTGCAGCGACCGTGGGACCCCGCTGAGAGTGATGAAAAACATGAGGACCCAGGGACACCCACCCCTGGTCGCCTACCCGTCTAGGGGAGGACAGTGTCACCACCGGGACCTCCGCCAGCACCGGGAAAGCGGTGGCCATTTCTAGGGGCTATGGGTAAAAATAGCTACTGTGAACTGCCTGTTGGCTAAAGCAATGGGCGCGTCTTCCGCTGCCTGCTCAGAGCGCACAGCAGGTTCAGGGCTGTTCCCTGTGGCGTTTGTCAGACCTGCCTTCACTTCTTAATCCTGGGTGACCGGGGCCAAGGGGCTCGCCCTCTCTGAACCGTGGTTCAGACACACACAACATCCCAAACCATCAGCATCCGTTTCGGGCTCCCAGGTCGGCGGCCGGCTGGGGCGCACGGGCGCATAGTGCGCTGGCTCCTGCTGCTCGGCTGCGCGTCACTCCGTCCAGAGATGCGCAGGCTGTCCTCGCCAGGGACAGAGATATAAGCAGGGAAAGAGGAAACGTGCACGTCTCTGAAAGCCTAGGCCCGGAGTAAGGCGCTATCTGCTCCACCCCTGTGCCTGGGCCAAAGCAATTCACCGAGAGCGCTCCTTCCACAGGGAGCCCAGGGCTCCTCTGAGGATTCAGGCGGGCAGCCCGGAAGAATCCCAGTACCTGTCGCCCTGTCCATCCCAGTAGCAACTGGTGGGCTTCAGTTCCTTAAAACAAAATGTATCTTTTTTTGTGCGGGGAGGGGGCTTTGATGGGCAACAGGGAGTGCGGGTGGTAAGCCCCACCCACTGATCTTACGCTTGACCCCAGAGCTCTGCAGGCCCCACTTTAAAATAACCTATGTTGGGTATCAATTTCACAAGATGTAAATATATAGGCCACAGCCTGGGGACAGGGGACAGTCAAAGGGTAGCACAGTCTCCTCTGTGGGGATTACGGCCACTGCTTGCTCTTTGCTCATCTGTGGGGTTTATGTTTTCGGCAATGAGCACTTTGTTGTTGTTTGGGGATTTTTGTTCTGGTGTGGTTTGCCTTACTTTTGCCACCTGCCGTGTATACTATTGCGACTTACTTGAAAAATTGTTGCCTCTGTAAGCGCTGATCTTTAGTGGTCAGGATCTAACCGGCATACCTCGGTGCTCACATCCAAAGTCAAATTTGGTCCAGCGGGCCTCTTGCCCTTAATTTCTTTCTGGAACGAATTGGGAGTATTTGACTCAAGGAGCCCGGTGCTGCCACACCTCAGGCGGGACCTCTACCCTCCGGGTTTTGATGCCAGCTGTAGAGCTGGGGTCATGGCAGGGCGGGGCAGGGGGGGACCCTGCTTCCTCTTCCCCCAACCTGGTCACTGGTCTCAACCCGCAGAAGACTAGTCCAGGCCTGACCCCCTGCTCTGCCCAAGGAAAGCTGACTACCAGAGAAAAAAACCAATGATGCTCTATGTAGGGACAGCTCTTGCATTTTAAAAATCCTTGGGCGCTAACATGCTTTGGAAATGATAACGTTCTTATAATATTTCCAGGTAGAGTTTGGAAAAAGATCTAAACTTTAGTGAAACCCATTTCTGCTTTTGGGCTTTTGGTCATGGTGTGTGTGTGTGTGTGTGTGTGTGTGTGTGTGTGTGTGTTTGGATGTGCACAAGGTGCGTATTTTTTTCACGCTGCTACCTGTTTTGACCGGCATAACTCCCCTTTCATTTATTCAGAATGTTCCTCTTTTCAAAGGCCCGGACAGGTGAGTGCCTGGCCCGCCTGTAGTGCCAGGCGGTCTGTGTGCGCCTGTCCTGTGCTTGTGGCGCACAATTGTTTCCCAGGAAGGAATGTCGCAAGCTCATTAGCACCGTCTCCTGGCCTCTGACACTGGTCAGAGTGGAAAAACCTGTCCTGCCAGCTGAGGTGAGGCTCCCTGGAAAGTAGAGAAGTGAGGAAACTTCTAGATACCTCAGGCTGAGAACCCTTGGTGAGGAGTCCCTTCTGGACACGGAGGATGAAGGGTCCCTGGACACACACCCCCAGGGTGACTCCCACCCGCCTGTGGCTGTGAGGGGTCCTAACTCCAGCTGCCCGCCTCCCAGAGCACCATCCTCCACCGGACTCAGCATGGACCAGAGGAGCAGAAGGAACATCCCAGAAGGTCTGCAAATCCCAGGTTTTTACATGGCTACTTTCAATGCCCTTTTCTGTTCTCCCTTGGCGTTTTCAAATCAGCGATCAGAATCACTTCTGACTCTAAGAGCCAAGTGGTTTGGCTCACGTGGGACCTCTGCTTGCCTTCTAGAAATACAAGTAGGGAAGAGGCAGAATAGGAAGTGCTGTAAGAACTCTGGCAAGGGACCCATCCACGTCGGCGAGTGCCTCTTGGGTTCCTGAGGCCGAGGTCCTGCTCGCTCCTGCTCGCTCCGGCCAGGCCGTGTTCACACCTGTCCGCAGAGTGCCCTCCGCCAGCCTGGCCGCAGGATGAGGAATCCTGATTGAGTCGGCGGGGGCAGGGGGGAAGCTGAGGAGGGACTGAGGGGCGGGAGAAATGGCAGTGGACACCCATCCGTGGGCGCTGTGGTTAAGACAGCCGTGTTTCGTGCCCGCAGAGATGTGGCCAGCTACGGAAGTGCGCGGCTTGATAGGACTTTTAAGAAAAGATTGTATTTACTTACTTTCAGAGAGAGGGAGAAACAGGGAGAGAAACATTGATGTGAGAGAGAAACATTTTTGGGTTGCTTCTCGTATGTGCCCAGGCTGGGGACTGAACCCGCCACCCAGGCCTGTGCCCTGACCGGGAGTCGAACTGGAGACCTTTCGCTTTGCAGGATGATGCCCAGCCAACTGAGCCACACTGGTCAGGGCTTGATGGGACTTTTAACGTTAACTTTAACCTGAGGCTTAGATCTGCTTCTGATTATTTGTCCAGAATATGCTTGATTACCTCCAGCCATGGGGGGCTGACTCCCTCTCAAATCCGTTAGGAGGTTCAGGCTGCAGAAAGCGGTCATGTTCTCCTTAAATCTAGCTCCT